CTTTCCTCTCTTGGCATTTCCGACACACCCCTAACCGGGTTCCAATCATATCTCCTTGACCGTTCCCAGTTTATTCAACTTAAATCATTCTACTCTCGTCTAATCCCAGTCACTTTTGGTGTACCCCAAGGTTCAGTCTCAGGCCCTCTTCTCTTCATAATATATATCCTCCCTTTTGGTACCATTGTCAATAAATTTGATCTTCACTTTTATTATTTTGCTAATGACACCCAGTTATATCTCTCCTGCAGGCCTGATTCCTCCAGAATGTTTATCTGAATTAAAATCCCGGTTCAGCTCAAATTTTCTTAAGCTCAATCAGCATAAAACTGAAATCCGTATCAGCTCCAAATCCAACCTACTAAAGGCAAATCATTTCACGTTCACTATTGAACCTTTGTGGTTTTCGTTTTACCTCAGGTTAAGAGCCTTGGTGTCATCCTAGACAGCTCACTATCCTATAAATCTCACATCAGTGATCTCACTCATTCGGCCTATTTCCGTCTACACACCATTAACCGATTACATCCTTCTCTTTCCACTCATTCGGCGTCCGTTCTTGTTCATAGTCTCGTTACCTCCTGCGTTGACTATTGTAATTGACTCTTAGATGGTCTCCTCCAAAAATCCCTCCATAAGCTTCAATTGGTTCAAAACTGCCCGCATTATTACCAGAACCCCGTCCTACCAGCACATCATCCCTATCCTTCAGGAACTTCCAAATAGTATACAAGCTTCTTCTCCTCACCTTCAAGGGCCTTAATAACCTTGGTCCTCCTTTCCTTTCTTTCCTTTCTTACCTTTCGTCCAGTTATATAACTGCATTTGTGGATGTCAAGTAGACATGCTGAAGATCAAACCAAACACCAGCATGTGGAAGAAAGATGATTTAAGTGGCACCAAATCATTTCACATTCACTAATGACAACTTCGCAGTTTTTGTTTCACCTCAGATTAAGAGCCTTGGTGTCATCCTAGACAGCTCACTATCCTATGCCAAAAAGGCTAGTCCGAGTGTTTCAGAAACTGCTAATCAACTGGGAGCTTCTTGCACAACCATCTCTAGGGTTTACAAAAATTTGTCTAAATAAGAGAAAATCTCCAGTGAGCAGCAGTTCTCTGAGAGAAAATGGGCTGTTGTTGATGCCAGAGGTCAGAGGAGAATGTGAAGATTGCTGCAGACTTATAGAAAGGCAATTAAACCATCTACTGATTGCAACCAAGTCATGCAGAAGAGCATCTCTGAATGCACAACACTTCAAACCTTGAGGCAGATGGGCTACAGCAGCAGAAGACCACACCGGATGCCACACCTGAGGTTTCAGTTCACATAAGTACACAAAAGCTGAAGATTAGAACATTACTGGCTGGTCTAATGTGTCTTGATTTGTGCTGCAACATTCAGATGATCGGGTCAGAATTTGGCAGGGACAAGTGAAGAATAGGATATTTCTTCTGTGGTACTGATTTGTGCTGTTGTAATACTTTCGATATGATACTTTTTTTGTCTTCTTCTTGCACACACATGCCTTAACACACACACACACAGTGCGATATATCTGTGGGTTCCTTCAAAAGCAGCTTAATAGCTAATCCTGTCTTGCAGCATACACACAAACACAGAAGGTCATTGCAAATGGAAACAATGTCTGCTCTATGGTAGAATGTCGATACTATAATCTGATTGGCCTAGTTGATGGATAGGTGGTTTGGTTGACCTATCACAGGTAACTGAATTATTGCCCCCACATGCTTACCTTTCGGTCATTCTGTCTGCTTTCTTTTCTCGCTCTCTCTGTCTCTATAGTCTGCCGCTCTTCCTCGTGTACTCTCATCTTCTCTCGTCTTTTTCCAGTCACTAACCAAATTAGTCTTGCCCCTTTGGATTTTGCCCTTTACAGGTCTGGATGAATTGAAGGAAAGGAGGAAGTGTGTGTTTTCTGTGTGTGTGTGTGTGTGTGTGCGTGTGTGTGTGTGTATGTGTGTCAGGCTAAGCTGTTCCTACCAGATGTTTTTCTTTGTTTTATGTTTCTGAGCGCCGCACTGTCTGCCTGTCACCAGCAGATACACAGCTCGGGTGTGTGTATCTTTGAGAGAGCGCGAGCGTGATAGAGAGCTTTTGTATATTCAAGAGGGAGGATGTGTGTGTTTGTGAGATTAATTACTTCCGCATACACTGCTAACACTCCACTGTGCGATGAAGGGTCGGCGGTACAAACGGTGAATATTAAACCAAATCAATTCTGCCAGCTTTGAAACCGAAACGCGCACGCAGAAAAAAAAAAACAGGTGTCGACTGTGAAAATCTCAGTTTTTATCTTTAAGCTGGACACTTTTGGGCTGAAAAAGACGCTGAACAGACTTGAATTGAAATGAGTGAAGGTTAGAAACGTAGAGAGCAGGAGCACAACAAGTTTAAGACAGCTTTCTGAGCAGGTGACTGAGGCGCAGAATCCCTGGGCTAAAAATCGATTCACCTTTCACGTATTCTGTGTTTCAACCTGTTTAAATCCACAGAATTATAATTCATGTCACTTCTTTGACTGTCAAGTTACTTGAGCATTTCTAAGTGCGGGAAAAATCATGGTTTACAAGTTTAATCGCTTCATTATGAACAAAAAGGAAATCAAAAGACAAGTTTTTTTGTTTTTTATCAGCCTCTTGCAGTTGTAATGTGTTGGCAGCTGTGATTCATGAGACATTTTTGAGATGGCTCTTATATAGAGCTCTTAAAAAAAACAAAAAACAAGTTTAAACACTTGAAAAAAACTACTTGAGAAAAAGTGAGATCAGTGGTTAGAAAAATGCCTGATTCCCATGGTACTGGAAATTGCTGTGTTAAGTGTCACTGTAACTGGCCTAATGGGAGTCTGATGTAGTCTTTTCTTGTTTGTTTAGCTGGATGGCCTTCGGATTTCCATCAGCCTGAACATCTAATCTTAATGCAGCTACTGTATACACAAGTTTTTCCAACATAAACATTAACTTTAGAAACACTTTAGCGATTATAGACTGATCGGACTGATTTGGATTAAACACCATTACAAACATTTAACCTTCATTCAGCAATGATTTGAGAATGTTCACTCTTTGTACTGTCCTTAAAATCACCAACAATCAAGTAAATACATTAAAGAATAAGGAAATTTTATTCTCAATGAGAAGGTTGGCATTCAGTTTTAAAATGCCATCCCTGTATAAACACCGGTGTTGAACTCCAGGCCTCGAGGGCTGGTGTCCTGCAGGTTTTAGATGTGTCCTTGATCCAACACAGCTGATTTAAATTGCTAAATGACCTCCTCAACATGTCCTGAAGTTCTCCAGAGGCCTGGTAATGAACTAATCATTTGGTTCAGGTGTGTTGACCCAGGGTGAGATCTAAAACCTGCAGGACATCGGCTCTCGAGACCTGGAGTTCGACACCCCTGCTGTATAATCTACAGAAGAATACATTTTTATTTTTTCCAAAACCAATGTCATGTCCATTTTATGACAGAGGTAAACAGATCTTTCTTATAGATCCTTGCTAATCACTTATTCCTTATCAGTTTTAAGTTTTAAAAGATGTTTCCCCTCAGTGCAAATGATTTAGTATTTGAGAGCCTCAAAACAAGCCAGAAACAAAAAGAAATTTAAAAACACAAAGGCCAGCATGTGACTCAGGTGTTGCACAGTCAGTGACGTCAGTGTTGTAGCTGTCAGGAGAAAAATGTCAGCATTGATCAGAGGAAATAACAGGCTTGAAGGCATATAATTCCAGTGGATTGGACAATTTAGAAGCTGTATTGTATTGTATTGTATGTGGTTATGTAAGTCAATGATGGAATCCAACCTAAACTCTTTTGTCAGTCAGCCTGTGAAGATATTTTGGTAAATTTAAACACAGCTTCTTCAGGTTTAGCTGATTCTTCCCAGGGATGAGACTGGAGCCTAGAGAGACCTGCCTGGCCTTCTGTCCCAAACCTCTGGCCCGCTGTGTGTATGTATCCATGGGAAAATAGAGTGAAAAAGAGGAGGAGCAGGGAATAAAATGAATGGATGGATTGATAGATGTTTTTATTACCCACCCCCAAAAGAAAGAAAGAAAGAAACTGGGCAGAAAGCAAGAGGATGTTGAATAATTCTATATATAGGATGTTGTATTTGCACAGCAAGAAATAAATAGATTTCTGCATTGCTTTGATCTCGTTTTCCTTAAAAACTTGACAAAACATTTAAAATCAGATATGAAAAGGGATTAGGTGGATGATGAATTGTTTACGACTTTGCAACAGTCAGAAAGTTATATGATCCTGCTCTCTTTCAAGGCCATTTCAGGACATTTCCCAGGACCCTGTCAGGCTGGGGTCGGCAATATGACAACAATCCCTGAGGAGCTCTGTAGTAAAAATCCCGTTGTGTGTTTGCGTGTGCATACATGTGCACATGAAATCATTCCTTCCATCAGACAGTAACGTCGTAGGACAGGAAGAGAGCCAGTTTGATTAAATAATCAAAATGCTTTGATTGTGTACACGATTACAAGTTAGACAAATACATGTTAACATATAAATAATCAAACATGCGCACGCACACACACATGCATACGCACAAAGCAGAAGCCACATAAACAGCGGCAGAACATCTTGTTCTGGCTGATAAATTTGAAAGAGTAGGCAGCCAGCACTGCGAGTGCTCACAAGTCATATACAATGTCCTTAGTGTTGATGTGGGAAAAATAAAAAAGTTTTATGATTGTGAATGAACGTGTGTATATAATAGTGGTACAGCATGTCAATTTTTTCCAATAAGCCACCTCTCACGATGAAAAGATTTACTGCACATAGTTCAAGAATACTGAATCATTCCTTTGCCACATGAATTTAGCATTTAATCTGATTTCAAATTTTCATTTATAATTACCTCTGATTTTATCTGTGTCTGTTGCTCGTTCTATGTCATGCTGCAATGATGCCACTCAGATGAGTAAATGGACTTTTTTTATGTTTGTGTCTGCACAGGAGCGTGTGGAGTATCTGTTCCTCATCATTTTCACGGTGGAGGCGTTCCTGAAGGTAATAGCCTACGGCCTGCTCTTCCACCCCAACGCCTACCTGAGGAACGGCTGGAATCTGCTAGACTTCATCATTGTAGTTGTAGGGTAAGCGATCAGAATCACACAGAAAAGAGACAAACTGCGAGGTGTTATTTGATGGTTCTCTGTTACTCCAAGTGAGTCTTTGAAGTTTGACAGATGAAGCAGATTTCATAGATTCAGTTGTGTAATTGTGATGCATAGTCTCTTTTCAACAGCTACCTGACACACACAACCTCAGCACATCATTAGCAAATTAATCATAGTACCTTAGTATAATTACTGTCAACCAATGGAAGTACAGCCAAGTTAATTGGCAGCCTCTGTCTAATATAAGAGGTAGTCATAGTGTTAGCATCTATCAAAATTACAGTAAGATAGCGTTTCACGTGGCCTTCTTTACTTTCAGTTGCAAAGGCAAAGAAGCAGCTATATTTTCTCTTGTAGCTCATCTTTTACTCTACTTCCTGTTTGTAAAACCAGAAGGGCGCTCAGACAGATTCCACAAGGCCAATCCCATATTTTGCGATTTTCATGAAAGTGATCCAGTTCTGCACTAACATTTTATAGATTCTTCTACTGCTCCTCCTTGCTCAACATCTCCACTAGGTTTCGTAAAATTCAGCTCAACTCGTCTCATCGACAGAGAGACAAATATACGGCCTTGGTGAGAAGCTGAAGTCTGTTAATTTATTTACTAATTTAACACGACAGTCATGTGTTTTTTTTAACATCCAACCATTGAAATAAAAAGTTCAGTTTGTGCCAAAATTATGTTCATCTTTCACAGTCGAATTGTCTGTGTTGATAGCCTGGATCAGTGCAACTGCTGTGATCTTGTCAGCGTTATTGAACACTTTCTCTATTTGTGACAGTAAAATTATTTGATTTCCAATGTCCAACCTGCTGGCACACAAAGTAATTCCGAATTAGGAAGCTGATTGAGGATATTCATGCTCTTTTTTCACAATATCTCAAGTATGTTTAGTATTTTGTTGTATTTTAGAAAGATTACTGTAGTAGCCATTTGAGAGGAGTATTGTCCGCTGACAAAGCTTTCTTTAGTTCACAGAAAATCTGGGCTAAAGCTGCAGCAAACTTTGGCCATCAGTGTATTGGTGAAGCTTAAACTGATTAGCTTGTGAGATGCTGATAGCAAAGCTCTGCTCTGTTTTTCTTTATCTGCAACTCAGCAACATAGTCCATCTGCTAAATCCATTTTGCCTAAGTTTGTGTGTGTGTGTGTGTGTGTGTGTGTGTGTGTGTGTGTGTGTGTGTGTGTGTGTGTGTGTGTGTCTGTGTGTGTGTCTGTCTGAGTGCAGTGGTGTGTGTGTGTGAGTGTGTGTGTGTTTGTGTGTGTGTGTGCGTGTGTGTGAGTTTTGCAGCTGTGCATAATTTTGGACTTGACCACTGGACTTGACAGTTACATTTATGCCATAAAGATGGTCTAATTGAGCGTGTGTGTGTGTGTGTGTGTGTGTGTGTGTGTGTGTGTGTGTGTGTGTGTGTGTGTGTGTGGTGTGTGTGTGCTGTTGCACGAAAGCACCCTCAGCCTGGGGGAAGCCTTTGTAAATACACCAACACACAGACATGCACATTCAGTGAGTCTTGTTCATTGCAAGTCAAGTGTTCACTCATATTAGCCATCACTAACTGAACACGCTTGGCTTGAGCCTATAACCACACACACACACACACACACCAACCACACACACACACATACATCCCATCGGCTGAAAACATGGTGCCAGTGCCCGTGGCATAAACACAACCTTTGCCACTCTTAAGCTGTTATCTACCCTCACTGTCTGTCTCCCTCTGTTCATGTCTCTTTCTCGATGTGAATTGTGCCTTTTATTGTAATGTAACATGATTTAATTTACAACTATAATGCACTGATGCCTGCAAATATTTTTGTTTCTCTTACAACCTTGCCAAAGGAAGTTCAGAAGGCAAAATACACGTCTGTTTGACTGCATGACTCTATTTGGAGTCATGCAGAATGACACATCAGTCTATTTAATGATTAATGTTATAGGGGACTGGATATGGATGCCTCAAAAGGCTCAGAAAATATGGATACTAGAGGGTTAGGCCCACTGAACATATATATAAACTTGGCACAAAATGTAAGAAAATTTGTGTTTATTTCTTTGTCGTAACTTTGCTTCTTCTTTGACAAATTTGTAAACATATTTAAGAGTTGAGCAGCAGAGATGAGCAGTAGAGTTGAGAATGAGGGTTGCACCCAGAGGGAACACCAAATCTCCTATGCCAATGCCAAACAGCTTATTGACTTTTGATTAGTGTATTTTATTAGCTTGGATAATTAAAGTCTGAATTCTTGCTTCAGTCTCCAAATTCAGAGATCCCCCCCAAATTCTGATTTAGATCTGAGAATACTGAATAATTTCAAAATTTTTAGTTTTTAACTTGAGGTAGTCAGAATTCAGTGCAAAGGTCATGTATGCTCCTTTTTGCTGCTATGTAAATCAGTCGTGAAGGTGAATATGATCATAATTCTTTCCTAATATCCCCCAAACAGCTTATGTTGCCTAATCCTAACCACTTCTTTGCTAAAGGGCTAACACATTAGAAAGCACTCCACTAATATGCAAACTCATTTTTAACTTGACATTTAACTGAATTGGAAACCGAATAAAATCCACTAGAATAGATGTGAAAAGCAACAAACACAAACTTCTTCTGTTTCACAAGCTGCAGGGAGTGTGTGTGGCTGGGTGTTTGTGTGGCTATGTGCATAAGTGGCTGTTTGTCTCTGTGCCCTTGTGAATCTAACTGCCAGTCTGTCGGTGTGTCTTTGTATAGATGAGAAGTGACAAGAGTTCACTCCCTCTGGATTATTCACCATATGGGTGAAAGAGCTTGTACCTGGTGCTGAGCAGCCTCAGAGACACACGCACACACACACACACACACACACACACACACACACACACACACACACACACATAGATACTATGGTCCACACTTGGCTGGCACTTACCTGAAAGGTCATTAGTTAAGGCTCAGTAATTCAACAGGCTGTGTTCATGTGTGCATGCGCAATATGAATATGAATGAGACTCAAGCTCAGCAGTTTTCAAACTTTTTCTGTCACACAGAAAAAAATGTGTACCCCATACCCCACCCACATTTTTAATAATCATTAACAATTAAAAAAAAAAAAGACCCACGTTCAATTTTAGTAACTTAAAGATCAGATTGGAAAATAAATGTTAAGAACCTTGGTCTCTGCATTCATACATACCTTGCTTCTTCATTTTTGACTTCTCTCTTTCACTCTTTGTCATCACTTTTTCCACTTTTGTTTTTCCTCAGATATATTAGGTCCATCTCCTTCCCCGTGCAATTTTATGTTTCTTTCATTTTACTTTCCCTCCTTGTATTAAGGGTGTGATCAATACAAAATACAGAGTGAAGGATTCAGGCAAAAAAAAATTATCTATTTCATTTGTTCAGCATTTACAGGGTCAGAAAACTACCACGTGACACTTACTGTACTCCAGGATGTAAAATTCGGGCAGAATTAATACAAGCTGAATGAATATTTTGCTTTACACTGTAACAAAAAGAGAAAAAAAAACAGGGAAAAAAAGCCTGTGGAAAAACTCACTATACTTCACTCAGATTCGGCACTACAGGCAATACTTTCCATGCTGTCGAGTTAAAGATGACAGTGAATGTGATGTGAATAAACTTTCATGGCCTGACCCGCAAAAAAGCATTTTTTTCTTCTATTGAACTTTTCTTGTTTGGAGAATGTTAGAAATTATTGTGAGCAAACTTGTGTGTATTTACACAGGTATATGTTCAGATTACACAGGAGTACCATACACCTTTGGATACTGAAGATGAATGACAAAACGTGCTGGGAAAGAACTTTTCCTTTCACGCATACAGAACAATTTATAAAACAATTCATTTACATTATAAGCGCAGAGTTTGTGACAGTTTGTTTGAAGAGTTTTATAGACTATGTTTGCTTTTATAAGAGATAATATAATGTGTTGTGGTTTGGTGTAATATTTCATGAGTCAGTTGTAGCTTTTTGTAAGAAAAAAAAAGTAAATAATTTATACAGTAAGAATAAACTGTGGTATCTTAGGCTGGCCAAACTCGAGGAAACCTTCAATATAAAAGCATTAAATTTAGATCAGAGTAATGATCAATATCATTACCATCTCTTATTACCCGATTTGATCCACTTTTTATCTAAATACATACCTTTATATAAATATAAATACTTCTGTTATTACTGAAGCTCACCTGCAGTACCATTACAGCCCACAAGGGGTTTCCTTCCTGCACAATGACTATGTAAAAGATTTTATACAGTCATTGATCCTGCACTGTGGGAATCACTGTTCCAGAGACTTGCCTATTAATCAGAGCCTTTGAAGGATAGTAATACTAGATAGCAACTCCACATACCTCGTACACCAAAATGAGCTAAATTAGGCTTATCAGTGGGCTGATATTATCAGTAGATATTAACTATCGATATCAGCATTTATGACAATTTATGCCAATAAATAAAAAATGTAAAAGGAGATATAGTAGAAACATCCTTCAATATATCACGTGTTTAGAACACCACAAACGCAACAACCAGCTGATCCGAGCAAAGTTGGCCGAGGCCCAAACAATCACACTGATAACTACACAAAAATAAAATAAATTCAATTCACTTAGAAAGGAAAGAACAAATAAATACCTGTAGATATATACAGACTATTTAAATCTGAAAATATGTGTCAGTCAATTTTTCTCTGTTCGCAGGATAGCAAACAAACAAACAAAGGTATCTAAAGGTGTAAAGTATGTGTATTTGCAGCATAACACATTATCAGTTCAAAGTTGTCTTGAGTGAGTCAGTGCATCAAGGACTGTAGTGCCATCTAAATGTGAAGCAGAGACTCTGCTTTTACTTTATCACACTTTGCTACAAGTGCTATTTACATGCTTCAAGAATCACTATTTAAACATGCTCAAGCTTTTAAAACTGTAATAATTAAGTGTAAATATTTTTTTCTCAAGCGACGCGGTGTTGACATTTTGATGTCTGTGAGACCTCTCAGCCTTTTTTCTCTTTCTGAATGCGTGCGGTTGGTACTATCTTTAGCTGTGGATCTATACAGCTCACAATGTGGTGCTACACTCCAAGACTCTAATTACCTTTAAACACCCTACAACAAAAGAACATGCTGGTGGTGCAAAATTGTGAATCTCTGACGTACTGTTCGTGCTCAGTTTCAAAGGAGTGCTTCCCACCAAGAGAGAGGGGGAGAGAGAGGAAAAGAGAGTTAATCAAATTGAGAGGGAGGTAGTGCGAAATAGAGAGGCAGAGAGAGTGTGAGAGGGAGAGAGGGAGATATGTTTTGAGAGGCCTTTTCAAGTGGCCATTTCATCTGTGCTAATTGATAATTCTCCATGACTAACGTGCCACTGACTGGCCTTTGAGCCACGCTAGCTGGAAAATGGTATTGTATGGTGATTTCTAAAGGATCTCGGAGAGCCAGAGACAGGAAGGGGAGAGCGATAAGCTCAGCTGGACGTACATAAATTCAAGCTTGTGAGTCACTTACACCAAAGGGATGTATGTCAATAATTTCATTGGGATAATAGTTAACACAGGGGGGGAGCGTTAAAAAGAGCATATTTAGCTCTTCATTGAAGATTATACTTCTGCTTTACACTGACAAATATGTATGGAAACCTGAAGAGTACAGTGTGATTGCTGATCATGTCATTCAAGACATTTCTGGGCACTGGCCTCTGCTTTCCACCACAGCCTGCCTGGTGGGATCGGTGTTGTATTTCATCCCAAGTTCTTGCAGACCAATGTGAGAAATTATGACTTCATCGACCTCGGTTTGCACTCATGGGCACTGTTATACGACATTTCGCTTTACATTTACCACAAACTTTTACTGCTCTACAGTAAAACGGTGCTGCCCAACCTTATTGGCTTGTGACCCTTCAAATCCAAAATCAAGGCCATCCTCAGAGTGCACCTGTTTAGCTGTTTTGGCCCTTTTCTGTAATGATGTCCTTTCAGTCCCAAAGTTGGTAATTACTGGTCACTCTGACTAAAAGTCAGTAACCCAAACTATAATAAATCAGTCCCAGGCCTGATTTTCACCAAAGTAAAGTGTTCACACATTTTGGCCAAAGTCCATTAATTTAAACTCATGAGCAGTTCTTGCTTAAATCTTTCTTGGCTGGATGTTTCTGTTTTCATGGAGGGTAATAACTAAAAAGGGCAACAGTGTAAAAATACATTTGACATTTTAAAAGAGAGTTTTTCTGCATAGTACCACATAACCTGACTGTGCAGCTCTCTTCACTACAGTCATGCACAGGCATCTGTGGAGCTGACTGTCAAATCATTAAAGCCACATGCCTCACATTTCCTTATCTGCGAAAGACAGAAGGAACAGATGAAACATTTTCGATTGTTTTCTTGGAAGGATAACTTGCTGAGCTGTTTTATTTTTTGCTTTCGAGTTTCTTCAAGAGTCAAATTGTGAAACGACACTGTTGACTTCACCAGGCCTTTACCTTCTAAAAATATGTTCCCAAATTTGGCTGCTGTAAGCACATTTCACTTATATTGCAATGTTTCCACTGGTGATTCATTTAGTACAGGATTAATGAAAAAAGTGTTTAAAAGTTTTATTTCAACTGAAACCTGATATTGTGCAACACTACTGACAATGTCTAAAGTGGCAAACAAAGATGTAAAACACATGGCCATAATGACACCAACTGTGGCGAGGCCTTTACAGCTGTATCTCTTTTATTGTTTTCTTTCTCTCATATATTCTCTAGTATGTGGAAATGGGATGTCAATGTGAAATTGATGGTTATTGAAGTCATTACCTTCTGTCTTACAGGTTATTCAGTGCAATCTTGGAGCAGGCCACAAAAGGGGATGGGGCTACTCCTATTGGAGGGAAAGCGGCGGGCTTTGATGTCAAGGCTCTGAGGGCATTCAGAGTACTCAGACCCCTCAGACTGGTCTCTGGAGTACCGAGTAAGTACTGAGAGCCATGGAAGTAAAAAAGAAGAATGAAAGAGAGAAAAGCAGGAGCACAAATGGTGCTCTGGGGATCAGGTGTGAATGGTGATTGGGTGTTGTGGGGGGTGGAATGGACCAGAGATTGAAGCTTGCATTGGTGCTTGACGCCACACATGATGACACACATATACTCACACCCAGTCTTCTTCTTGTCAGAAATGCAGAGGCTTTCAGAGCTGGACGATTTATGTGCGTACTTGTCTGTGAAGACACTCTTAATGAAAATAGTGTGTTTCCACCTTTATGTGCATTACACTTGCAGACAAATGCAGAGGATGCAAGTGCACAGCTATCACTTTGTCATTTGGTGTAAAAGTGCTGAGTGCCGTTGTGCGCCGCGCTGTCCAACATCACTGGGCTGTCATGGCAGTTGTGGCAACTGATCAACAGCGTGTTTGCCAGCTGACTTGCGCACAGATGGCGTCCAGTTGCTTATGTGCTGTGGAATTTATTATCTTTTTATTAAAGGCTGATCATTAAAGGAAGAAAAACATGAGGTTGTACAATCAAGACGTCTTAGCCATGCCAGTTATTCACGACTGACAAGTGGGAAAACTGCTGTTCCAGCAACTATCTAAGTGTTCCTCACTCCATGACACCACACTGATTTTGCAGTTGCGTTTTAAAAAGTTCAAAAGAGTAACTGATTAAATTAATACGAGTGTAATCTGATAAACTGGTCTTGCCTATATGCGCAAGCCTGTGAGCTTTTTTGTTTTTAATTTAGTTTGTTTTAACAAATTAGTCAGTTAAATAAACCCACAATTTCTCCTACTGCCTTTTGTATTGTTACGCCTCTTCAGCAGCAACATATTTTTGCTCCTCTTGTTTTAAGTTATTAATATGCAGAGCACTGAGCTTTTGTTCATCAAAGCATTTATTAAATTTAACTGGAAAGGTGTTCTGCTCATAGACAAATTTGCATTTAAAAATACCATGTTTTTTTCTTTGCCTACAATTAATAGAAGTCATGCTTTTCAGTAGAATATCTGTACAAAAGCAATATTAAAGCTTCAGATGAAATATAACAGCCAGCTTAAGTGCTTGCATGGTGATTCATTATGACAATGCTGGTATATGAGGTGCCAGTCATGATTTTTAATGACAGTAAGTCTCCAATCCTCAGATTTTATAAGAACTGTATGCTTTTTTAAAATGTTCTGTACACTCTCATATGCCTTTTTGGATTCTTAGCAAATGTGTGCCTCCTGCAGGTTTACAGGTAGTGTTGAACTCCATAATCAAAGCCATGGTTCCTCTGCTCCATATCGCCCTGCTGGTCCTCTTCGTCATCATCATCTATGCCATCATTGGTCTGGAGCTCTTCATGGGCAAGATGCACAAGACCTGCGTTCATAACCTAACAGGTACACACAAACACTGACTTGTAGAATACCTATTTATAAGCACTGATGCACAGATATAAATAAAAACATGCACGATCAAACACAGCCAATGGCACACAACACTTCAGTTGCTTAGATACATGATCAAAGCATGTATTGAAGTGTATGTGCAGGCATGCTTCAGTTAGCATTTATTCACATACATACAAAGTGCAAACTTTGGTGTTCAAGGTCTTTGGTTTGACTGAGCTTTGCATAAATTCGAACTCTACAGTAAAGCTTTATCAGCAAACAAACCTTAAACAGTTAAATGAACACATCAATTAATTATTCAAACCATCATTTATGTTTCTGAGCAGGAACAATTTCAGCAATAATTGAAACAACAGCTGCCATAAATGATTGAAACAATTTTCAGCAAAGGGCCTCAGGTATAATGGACTGGAGTGTTATTATGATGGTGTTATACATCCCCTGAGAGGCATTAGCTTTCCACAGGGTAAGTGCCGGTGGAATACTCTGCTATCCTATACATCACCCTGAAGAGCTTGTTTTGTATAATTAGTAAAACACTTTTTCCACATTGATTTTTTTTCATGGTGCCTTTGTTTGGTGTTATTTCATGGTGTCCTTTTAGCCTTTCAACCTCTTTTTTTTATGTGAATGGATTGAATCTGTAACAGAGCTTCCCGTAGCAAAAAATCAAAAATGTTCAGTGAGCACTGCTTGGATGGGCATAAATCTCTCCTGCTGGGATCTGCAGTTCAAAAGACAAGCAGCTGAGTTCGAAAAGTATGCTCGATAAAAAAAGTGCAAGTCTGTGTAAACAAAAGCATAAGGAGTCATGATCTCAAGGAGAATTTTGATAACAAGGATCCAGTCGCCACTATATATCATAAATAGTACAGTACATGGATATTCCATTGAAATGAAACATTGACTAGAGTTTTGAAGCTTGGAGCTTCTGCTGTTGCTAGCGCTGGCAAATAGGGTGAATTCCGTTGCAAACAGGTGCCATACCAAAAGCTTCTTTGCAATTGCTTTGGTTGCTAGCAGATTGATGCTGTCACCCATAGTTTGCATGGAAGGCTCCAATTTGTCTGCAAACATGCTAACTAACTGGAAAAAGTATGACACAAACTGGAAGCAGAGACAGTTCACCTTCAAAGTAAGTGGTGCTTTGCCACAGAAATCAACATATTTCAATATATTTCGTGTCTTCACAGTTAGTGGCATTCACAAGGCAGTTTGTTTGCAACCTCTTTGCAATTAGCTATTGTAAGCAACTTTTCCCTGGCAATCGCTGATTACAGGGGGTAGCTGACAGGTCTCAAGACATGTATGACTGGAGCTTAGCAACTGATTTCACAGGGTAAGCCAGCAACCTCTTGCAACCAGTAAGGAATAATCCTAGCAGCCAGTGGTTAGCAGACAATTGCCAACTGCTTTCTAGGCCTGTGTAAAGTCACTGCATTGCTACATGAGATGCTAACTTTGACGAGTGAAAAACAGGCTTAAAACAAAACACAATCGAAAAAATGTTTGTTTTAATATGACAAAATCTTAAAAAGTTACAGAGTTTTGGAAGTGAAACTTGCACGTGCAGGTTTCACTTCCACTGAACTTGCACGTGCTACCAATGCAAAATACACTTAAAACAGTGGGTTATGTGAAAATTTACAGTTGGCATCAAAGCAGACTTAAGCTACAGAGCACAAAATGTTTTTATACCAGCTTCTAAACATGTTTATTTCTGTTATAAATTTGGTTATCGTAACATGTGAATCCTTGACGAGTGACCTCCTTTTGGAGCATGCCTCAAGCAGGCTTTCGAGGATCTGTGGTTTTTGCTACTTTTAAGTTGGCTTCCTGCTGCTTGATTTCTACATTAAAAATCATGATGGGTAAAAGCTAAAAATGGCTTTTTGTATGAAGTTTAACTCACTACATCTGTGGTTTCTAAATAAATTATAGCTGTCTTGTTGAGCTGTTTTTTCCCTCGTACAACAGAAAATGATCTTTGTGTGTAATTCAGTCTAATTTTCCACCTCTGACCCTCCTCAACAGTGCATCATTAAAGCAACAAAAAAGACATTATTTGTAAGATATCTGAAAAATTAAAAAAAATGGCCATTGCCACTTTTTTCTCTTTTGTCACAGGCACTATTGCAGAGGAAAAGCCAGCACCATGTGCACCTGATGGAGCTTATGGTCGACATTGCAAGCAGAATGGAACACAGTGCAGAGTTGGGTGGGAGGGCCCAAACGACGGCATCACAAACTTCGACAACTTTGCCTTTGCCATGTTAACGGTGTTCCAGTGTATAACCATGGAAGGCTGGACGGATGTGCTGTACTGGGTGAGTCGGACACCAAAGCAGTGTTTTTGTGTTTGTGTGGCTTAGTGAGTACCAGAGGGATTGGTGCGTGGAGCCTCTTTACTGTATCTGTAACATCAGTGCCAGATGAGTGCTTTTGAGAAAGGAGTATAACACAATAACAAAAACACTTGTTTTAGAAAGGTGGGTACATATAAAGACTGAACAAATACACACACAGAGTTAGCTTCTATCTCAGGTTAATGCAGACAATACACTGTGTAATTGAAGCTGCAGATTCATTTAGAACGTGTGTAGAATCCCTACGCTTGATTTCAGTGTCAAGTGAGCAAACATGGAGCCACAGACAACTAAATATTTCCGCAGGGACAAGTTTCCCTGCTAATCAAATCAAATAGAGCTTGGTAAATTAGAACAAAAGGGCTTTCAAGATGCTGGACAAACCTTTAGAACAGCTTGAAGTGCTTTGTTGCAATTGCATTTTTGAAAGTTTTATCTTGTAGGGAAGTAAATTAGCTTTCTGGCTTGACATTTTATAAAATGGTTATAAATTAGTTACAAAAAGTAGCAAAATAAATTTCTCTTGTGTTTGAGATCTACATGGCACTGAGAGGTCAAATGGACTGTTGCTTAAGAAAATAACAGCAACTAGAAGAACACAGCAAAAAAACAGAAGCTGAACAACACACCAAGGAAATTAAAAAAAAAGAAAAACAGCTGAAATTGATTAAAACAAAAAAGAAGTTGACTAAAGCACAGTAGAAGCAGAAAAAACAAGAAATTTCCACAAAACACAACAGAAGTGTTTCTGGGGACACAATACCGTGACGAACCAGCTGCAGAAATGACAGAAACCAACGCACGCTTAAAATAACCAGAGGGTTCATCGGTGTTGTGAGGGTTAAAAAGATGTAAGGTAATGTTTGTTTTAATCACATGATTCATATAACGTAAATACATTCTTGCTATTAGCTATTTACTGTTAGCTTGGCACGTCCGCAGCTGTTCCGTCACCTTATAGTGTCCCCAAAAGTTTTCTGTTTTTTTGTTTTCACTTTTGCTTCATTTTTTTCTATTTCCATTATGTTTTATTAAACTTTCACTGTGGTTTATGTGCTTTTTCTGTTTCCTGATGTCTTCTTAAGAGCCACTGTAGGGATATCACGTAAAAATGTGCATCCAGTATGTGCTTGTTGGTTAAGTTACTAGCTCTACATCCGTTCTGCTATTCCTGCTTATCTACTGCAGTTTCCTGTTTATATTTACACACAGCACTCCTATAACAAATTTGACGTGCTGTAAAATGTTAAATAGTCGAATGATTGAAGCACCAGCCCTTTGACAATATTTTGTTTGTGTTGTAATTTTACATAATTTTCAGCGTCACACACTTTCACTACAAAATATCAACATGCAACATTTGCTGCTGTCACAGCACATAAACCTGCTGTCAGCTTTCACCTTTATCATCTCCCTTTTTTATCTCTGTCCCCCAGTCTTTGTGTTAAATTCTTTAATTAAGAGCCTTATCATATTATTATCCGCTTTTTCTTTAAAACAACCTAACCTTTGCATTTACAACCTCAATCTAATCAGTAATCTAATAGTCTAATAATGGGACTTTTGTTTTGAAGTAAAATCCTGGATGCTAAACTGCTCACTTTGTCAGCATCGAGTGCTACATATATCCACCCCATTTATTCATCACAACAATTTCCACATTAATCTCTCTTGATACTGTTATATCTTTGTTTCTAGATCCATTCACCAATCTAAGATGAAATTACTTAAGTTACTGTGGAACTGTTTGAAGAGATTTTTTAAATTGCAGCCAGGGTTTGCCATTAAATTACAAAAGTGTTCTTAATTGTGGATCGTGGTCTGCCTGCTCTCCAAGCAAAGGATAAAAGGCTTATAGTCAGTTTTAATCATACAATTATGCCATTCTCACTGCTATCTGCTGCTCTTTTAACATGCACCGCTCCTTTTCTTTTTTCCTGCTTTTATCTCCTTTTAACCTCTCTCTCTCTAACACACTTTCCTGTCCTTGACCTCTACCGCCCTGACTCATCCGTGACTTCATCTTCTCTCTGTCAACCTTCTCAAAACCTTTTCTGTCATGTTTCCTGTTCTTTCCCTACTTTTCTCACCCACCTGTTGATTCCACATCTGTGCTACTCCCCCTTTTTCTCCTTCTTCTTCTTTCTCCTTTTCTTTCTTCTTCGCTCCTCTTTGCCTTTTCTCTCTCTCAGATGCAGGATGCCATGGGCTATGAGCTGCCATGGGTCTATTTTGTCTCTCTTGTCATCTTCGGCTCTTTTTTCGTTCTCAATCTCGTTCTGGGAGTGTTGAGCGGGTAAGAGGTTATGCTGTTGTCACTTGTGTATGTGCAGTAGGTGTGCTGTGTGGCTTTATTTACTATTTTAAATGTGATAAATGACGATGTTACAAGACTCCCGTAATGCAATCTAAAGTGCAAGTTTTTTCTTATTATTTCTCTTTTTGTTGTCATTAATGTTTTAACACATACATACACACAGACCCAGTAAAATAATAAATTAGATGCAAATAAGAGCCGTGCGCTGACAGCAGTCTCACCTCATCATTCCACCAGAAAAAGTAGAGCTAGACAACCGTAGTCCTCTGTTGTTGAGGAAAGATAAAATGATGATCACTGAACTGAGCAAAATCTTTCGCTCTCTTCCCTTTCTCTTTCACTCAATCAATCCTTTGACACAAGCCTGAAAGAAATACACAAAAGCACTCAGAAAAAGCTGCGAGTGACCCCACGTCTATCTGTCGTGTTCATGTCAGTTTGCCCACCTGTCTGTGCTGAACAGGTAGACACATACACACAAACATTTACACATTTCCAAAACTTAACACATTTCAACTTAAAATGAACACTGCTGTGTTCCAACATGTTTTTTAGCCTACATGCACGTTTGTCTCTTGCAAGTTAGCATTTATCTTTCTTTTTTTTTTTACATTTGTGCGCGCACACACAGAGTGTTTATATTTGTTTAAAGGCATTTGCTGCGCTGTGTGTTTTGTTTCAACAAATACTGCTCGAGCAGGCTCGCTGGGTGCTGTTTTACCCCACTCTGCCAAGTCACACTGTTTCAGTACAAGCGCCTCCCGGTCTGCAGGGACACACTGGGGTATAAATAATTCACCCCTCAGGTCAGCCGTGGAGGTGGAATGCTAAAAAAACTTGCACAACAGGGAAAACACAATAAGGACAGAGTGGAGTCTGGAGGAAATGTGGCATTAAATATGGAAATTATGGAACAGCAGGCTGCACTGAGTAGTGAAAAGCATTTTTTTTAAGCATCCGTAAAAAACATTGTTTGCAGATCACACATGATGGTAATAATAATGATGATAATGTTAAAAAATAATTGTCAATAAATTGGCAGAGAATGGTTTTGACTTGATGTCTATTTCCAGTCCATGGGAGTCTTGGTGCACAGTCTCTTCATTTGTCTAACTACACTCTTATTTCTCCAGTGATTAAGGATGAAAAAGAAGAATTACAGTGGAAGTAGAATCACCTATGTGATTATTAAACTTCTGACTTTTTTCTTGCAGGAATACATTAATTCATTTATTTTGTTTGTCCCATGAGACTCGCAGCCTCCTGTAGGTTTCACTGTTTTAAAAGACCCGCTGAATCCACCAATGCATCTCTTTATCATTTCTCAAATTCATATTGCCCAAATACTTTGCCATGTGGCACACTAAGTGACTAACAAATAATATCAATGCACCATAATCCCAGCAGGGAACAAGCAGAGGTAAACGGTTCCATCTGTTGGGAACTTTCACCAAGGATCTAACTCATTCCCTTATCCCCCCTTCTCCTTTCTCCCGTCCCCATCATCCTACCACTCCCTGCCTTTTCCATCAATCCCCTGTCTTCTTGTCTTACTTTTTCCTCTTTTACCATCCATCTACTTCCCATCTTCCATCCTTCTATCTCCTCCCTTTGCCCCTATCCTGATGCCTTAGGTGAATGATGCTGTAGGTTACACGTGGCCCTGGGTCTATTTTGTCACCTTAATCATCATCGGATCCTTCTTTGTGCTAAACTTGGTTCTGGGGGTATTAAGCGGGTAAGGGCAGGGTCAAAGGTCGTTTGAAACTAATTTTTCTTTCTTGCCTTTTTGCTGCTCTTGGAGAATTTTGCTTCTGGTCTTTTGCTCAAGGGATCTCTTCACTTCCTTCTCCTTCCTGCCTCTTGCTGCTGCTGGCGTTTATATTTAATGAGTACAAAGCATGTACAAGAATGTGTTTCTATATAGTCCCATTTGGTTGCTTTACAAGACCATGTATCTGAGGCTTTGTGACTCTTCCAACTGAGCATTGCTGACTGCACATAGATTTTTTTTTTATCACTGTAGCTGACTGTAGTGAAATCATACTCGAGCATCTGGCTCGAAGACCACTGAAACCTTCTGGGTATTGTTTCTCTTACTACAAGGCTCCACTGCTGTTTCTGTAAAATAGCACTAGTGCTATTGTGAAGTGAAGTGCTCTGTTTTCAGCACTGATGCAGGGTGGAAAAACTACCATCTCATTTTTTTTTTTTTTTTAAGGAATTAATATGTAAACCCTTGTGATTAAAGCTGTTTATAGACCAGCAGTTAATACACAAAAACATGCAAGAAAATGTATCTAAATTCAGCAGTAACAGAAGTATATCAATTGCCACCTAAAAACATCTTAAACTTCTCAGTTCCAAGATCAGCTCTGCCAGGGAACAGGTTTTAGAGTCAGATGTCTCACCCCTGACTGACTGACTGACTGACCTGAATCTGACTTGATACCCTCAGGAGAGGTGGCAGCAGCATTGTAGGGAAAATAATAAAGGTCTATCTGTACCAAACAGCTTGGGGGGTTTGGTAGTCCGACTCTTTGTCTGACTTGTGACTAATGATGCTGTCAGCTCACTACACAGCCTGACCTTTTACCAACTGGTTACTCCATGGTGTGTGTAGGTCTCAGATTGGCATAATAACTAATGGCTAAACAGGAAGAAGGAGAGTGACGGATGTAGAGACATAGGCATAGGGTGTGACTGTGTTTGTCTGGATTTGATGTAATACGTAAACAGAGAGGATGGAGAAAGTGGCTCGACCGAAAGAGAAGGAGTAGGTAGAGAAGGGAGAATTAAAAGATGACTGAGGACAGAAAGGTGAGACAGTGGAGAATTGGAAAATGAGCGTGGAGCCTAAGGATTTAGCACTCAAGGCCACACTCGCACACACACATACAGGATATGTGCACTGAACTGCACAAGTCCAGATCAATAGGATTGGATCTCCTGCTAATGTTCTGACAAGTGGGACAATAGATGTTTGTCCTAATGCTCATTGATCTGCTGTTGTGGGTTTGAGTGTGGAGTCTGCAGTTCAATCTGAGGTTCCATCATTCTCTTAAATTTCACACAGATATCCTCAAACACTTGAATTCTGCCCAGCCAATAGACATGACCAAAAAAAAGTCAATAACAATACCAAGAGTTTCATCAGTTCTTCATCTCTGGAGAGCAGTGAAACACTAACAGCCTACACAACCTCTCTTAAAACCTTTGTGCTAATTGCTTGAAATCTGATTAGGAATATTGAGATAACGCTTAAACCTGAGCTTCAAAAAGAGTCCCACTTGTATGTTCAAAACGAATGTAGGGAAGTTTACTTCTATGTAAAATATTCACGAAAAGGAGGCATTTGCTGTGTTTATTTTCCAGCAGGCCTTTAAATATGAATTTGTTCACGTTTTAACTGCAAAAATTCCCAAGTCTCCCAAGTCCTGTCAGCCCTCATCTGAATGAATTTCCTTTGTTCAGACTGGATCTTTGGTTCTAACCTGTCTTTGACCTTCCCCGAGTGCACCGTTTAATCAAGTGTTCCTCAATTCTTTCTTCCCTCCTGTCACCTGGAAGCAATTTCACTGAATTTCATCATAATGATATGATATTTCACACTCGCTGGTCACGTTGGTTTTAATTGTCTTAAATTATTTTTTCTGCACGTGTTCTTTGTGCACAAAAACTCCGAAATCTAGGTGAGGTACAAACCTATAACTTTTTTCTGTAATCAATGTCTCTGAGTAGTAACTGAAAGAATGAGTTGGCAGGCAAAAGGTTCGGAGCTCAGTGATGCAGGATGACTTTAGTGCAGAGCCACCTCTCCAACTATTTGACAACAGCTGAGGCTGTGCAGCTGGTGAGGGCGCCCTCTTTGTGCCTCCCTCCGGGGTTGTACCAAGCACATTGCAACCTGGGGTAGACCCAGAAAACACCACAGGAATCCCATTTCCCAGCTGGCCTGGATCCACCTGGGAGTCCAGTACAGATAAATGAAGTCTTGAACTTTAATATTTAGTAAGTTTTTACAATCGGCAGACTTTTCACTGTAGCTTTTTATTATATTAGCTGAGCATGCATCAGCCAGAAATCATCACCTGTTCCCTGCTGAGAAAAGGTGGTACAATTCATCAACAGTGCAACGGCCTGAATGAATAGGGTTTCTGCTGCATCACTTCCTTTCACTCTTTTATTTGGTTCTTCCTTTTGTCTATGTGAATCACATGGAATCAGTCCTCATCATCTTTCATGGAACCCCAGCTGGCTTGAATGGTATTTCATTATTTGAGTGGTTGATATGTAAATAATTATTAATAAGGTATAAAGATCTATATTCTAGGAAACCAAAAGCTGCATTTGCATACTAACACCGTTTCTCCGTGGCAAAACTTTTCTTTCGTTACTTAACTTTTCTTCTCTCTGGCAGGGTTTTCCCTTTTCTTCTTTCCGAAGTATCCTTTTCTTTTAACTTGATCACTTTTGTCACATGATGATTTTGCCAAAACCTTAGTCAAGATTTTCAGATTCTCTTTCCTGTCTCTCTCTCTGTTTGCTCTCTCTTTCCCGTCAACTCTCTGCCCCGCTCCTTCTCTTCTGCTCCCCTCCTCCCAGAGAGTTTTCCAAGGAGAGAGAGAAGGCCAAGGCGCGCGGTGACTTCCAGAAACTCAGAGAAAAACAGCAACTGGAGGAAGACCTCAAGGTAGTTTGGTGTGTGTGTGCATGTGTGCATGCGGTTGTCCCCATGCCAGAAAAGCTGTTACAGTCTTTACCAAAGACTCAGGTTCATTGTACTGTCAGTGTTCAGTAACCTGTAACCCTTCAGTAACAGTGAGCAGGGAAAGCAGAGCAAACTTTACTTAGAAGTTACCTAAGTTACAAAACAACACAAGCACTCCTCTTACCTCATGGAAAAGTGTAAAAAGAATAGGGCACACGAAGATTGAGACACATGATACATATTCTAAAACATTTCATTCTTATGATTCCAAACAGATGTGAAGTTTGATCTTTCTGTTTACCCATCAGTATTTCCCTTGTTTGTGTGTGAATACAGGGCTATTTAGACTGGATTACTCAAGCCGAAGACATTGACCCAGAGAATGAAGAGGAGGGCATGGACGATGAGAAACCCAGAAATCGTGAGTGTGCGTTTTTTTGACAGAAGGAAGAATGGTTCTCCGTGAAGATGACGCTGTATGCATGTGTGACTGAATTATTGATTGGTGGTTAGGATTAGCTGTGTCAGGATATGGTAAGACTTTGGCAAAGGCTAGCTGAAATGATTTCCTCCCAGATGCATCACAAGTTTGTCAGGATAGATGCGGATGTGTCTGCACTACATTTATTGCTCTGTCTATAAGTAGTGAGCTTTTCGTAGTTTCCTTCACACTGTTATGGCACAGTCATTAAATGAACAACTGACGTATGGGCAGAGTGACTGACAGACCGAGAAGATATTAATATTATCTGCTTGCTTTGGCTGAGAATCATCCTGAGGATTAAAACCTGTTTAGATATTAGTGGAATGTGTCAGACTGCAGCTAATAGCCTCTGGGCCCACACTGTGACACACAACAAACACACACTACTGCAGCTATGCAAAATTAACATAGGAACACACACACGCACTGTAGGTACACCCTAAGGAATTTGTTTACTTGTGTTTTGACAGAAATTTACACACACAAATTAACACCTTGTCTCTCTATACAAACACCTCCGGAGAGATGCAGCCACACATGGCTCATGTCTCCTCAGGAATGCACTATATTTCCTTGGGAGGGAAAGTAGACACTGGCCTCTTTAACCTGGAGGTTGGAGCTCAGAAGTTAGACCTTGAAAGAGGGACAATAAGAAAGAGAGGCAGTGATTTGACAAAATGCATGTCTGTTGTATTCCTGGACATGTACCCTTAGTATAAACAGTATGGACTGTGAAGTATTTTATAAAGGCTTGGAGCTAAGCTTGCTCACACTGGTAGTGGATGAATGAATAATGAGGACTAACCACGAAGAGACAGAGCGTGCATTCTGCTTACATTCTGCGCACAGCCACGCTCATCTCTTGAAAATCACTGTGGTTCATTCTGAGAAAACACTGATGACTGCCAAGGGAAAAAAGAAAGAAAGAGAAAATCTAATGATGATCTAATCTTTCAGGGAATATCAAGAAATTAACATGGTCAAATGAGCAATGACCCAATTTACATGAAAATAAGGCACAACACCCCCGTGGCTAATCCGTAACAAATCTGCTTGTTTTCACCTGTTACCACTGTACTCCCCTGGGCCAATCAGTCTGGCAAACACACATCAGCAGTCTCTTAGATAGTGTTTTGGCCCATTAACAAACAAACAAATACAGTATGTGGCCAATTTTGAAAATGTCACATCAAAATATTATGATTTTTTTTTTTTTTGCTCTAAGTTTTGCAAATTCTGCATCAGTGATATATTTTGCAGTGTCTGAACAAGCCAAATATGGCTGTAAACCAGAACCTGTAAGTGTTTGCTATACAGTAAACATACACACATATACATATTTTCCTCAAATAAATCTACCATGCGATCTCTGTGGATCACTTAGTTGCAAGATTAAGCCTGTGACATCTTCTAAACAGTATAAATTATGCCATTAGATGTAGATGATTCAACAAAATGATTAATATATATGATACAAAGTTCTCTATAAGAAAGATCAATCATCGCTCTCTGTTTGTGAAGGTGAAAAATCAAGTCACTTGCTCTGTCTATTACTCTGCCTCCCCTCTCCCCGATGGATGGATCCTCTTGTGGGAAGATGAACGAGGGCAGTTTGTCCCTGCTGCCCAGGACATTTTGCATCAGCTCATGCATGCACAGCTCACATAAATGTGTGTCGTAAGAAGCGATAGGAGACTCAGAGAGTAGAATAGATGAAAAGGGAAAAGTAGATGTTCAGACAGTGTAAGGACTGCAGAGTGTACACGGACTCCAGACAATATCTAGAAAATCAGGTTAGGGGATTGTCCGAAGTTGCCTTTTATGACATGTGGCACACAGCAGCAGCAGAGGTTTGCTTCACGTGCATTACTGCTGTAGATAGTCCTGAGCAGGGTGTGCAGAAGTCACATGACACCCCATGGACTGCCTATAAATTCCCTCGATATTCACTAGACTTGCTGTTCTTATTCAGGTTAAATCAGCATCATCGCTGGACAACCCTGCTGTCTCATGATGTTCTAACATGAGGCTCCCAAAGAAGATTAGGCTTGCAGTGCAACAGGACTGCACTAACATCATATTCAATATTATAAATATGAGAAGTTGATGATGTCAAGTATAATATATGTAAAATATGTGTGTTTTCTGTCATCTCAAGGGCATAGTCTGTATGCATGTCTTCCGTGCTGTTGCTGTCTACCATCTTGTTCTTGCATGCTGTCATCGTGTTTTGTTGTCCTTGCTGTTTGTGTTAGGAGTGTCTCCAGCCCACCTGAGAAGCAAGACCAGTATGCATGTCTGATCCAGTCATTCTCCTGACTGTCAGGATGGTGTTTGTGTATCCTCTGTGGCGTTGACATGTGCTTCCATGTAATTCCGGTTGTGATTAGGCCTGTGTACACCAAAAGTGGTTGTAATTACATTTGGTCTACATGGCTTCTGTTTGGGATGCCTTCTTGATGGTGCAGTGATACAGTATATTGCATCTATCCTGGAAATGCACCGATCCCCTAAAGATTTGTAGAGGATGTGACTGCTCTGTGGCTTCCCGCTGTGTGGAGTAATAAAACAGAAATTTTCAATTTATCTTGCAATGCAGTCTCATCCAGGGATGTCAAATACTGCCGTTTTGTCCAATTCTCCTTGTCTGAGATTGATACGCAAAAATGTGTCCTACAATAAACACAGAGCGATGAAAGATGTCCACATTAGGACGTTTGAGTTGTTGTGTTGAAATAAATCACAGGTTTGTTAACCAGGAGATCACAGCCTCCTGGTTTTCAGTCTTGTTTTTTCTCCTTTAAACCTGCTTTTGACGTTAGTTTTCACTCGCTGCCTGTTTAGGTTTAACAAAAGATTGGAATTTGCGATTTAATGCTACACCTTGAAAAATGTTGTATTTGCCCAGCGTGTTTAAATGCAGTGATATGAGGTCCTTCGCAAACATTATGTGACAGACCCAGTGCTCCATAGCACAGATACCAAAGGACAGCTGATTATCTGTGAGGTGTGCTGGCACTGAAAAAAACCCCAGCAGCATTTGATGCTGTGGGAATGATGCTCTAATGTCCATTTTACAGCGGCGCCAGTGTTATAAATGTTGCTTGCTTTTAGCTGCTACTGCAAAAATGGTTTGATAGATCTTACACTGTGACATGGTAAATATGCATTTCACTTGAGGAAGGATTTTTGCTGTAAAGAAATCAACTTAAAAACAAACAAAATAGATTAAATCATTATTAATATAATTCATTTGAGCATCCGCAGTAATCTAAATGCTGTGCCACTCTTTTGTGGTAAAGAAAGAGCTGTTGATTTAGATCTGCATTCTTATGAGCTCAGTTTAGTGACTGAAAGAATGAGCTCGCATATACAAGTGGCAGAAATGACCTCTCTGAAAGGTGTCTGGTCTCAGCCTTTGAGACAGGAAGAGGTCCTTTGCCACACTGGCTGCTATACATTGGGCACTTCATATTAAAAGAAGCCATTTGATATGGTGTGATATAGTTCTACTAGGATGATTTCTAGATGAGCAGTTTCAGTTATGTTCAAATGGGAGTAGGCCCAGAGGTAGACCCAGGGCACGCTAGGCATGCTGAGATTATGTCTCTCAGTTGGCTTGGAAACACTTTTGGTGTGTCCCCGGAAGAGGACCTAACTTCTTGGAAGTGGATTTTAAGAGGTCTCTAGAAGACAACCAAACTCTCTGGCTTTCAGTATATTGTGGGGCAGGGGGCCCTCTGATAGTCATCAAGGTGTTGATTTTGCTCTGAAGTCCATGCTGCTTTTGTCTGCTTCCAATATAGACAGTGGTAAAGGTGCTAATACACAGAAGGTATGGTTATCTCTCCTCCCCTCCTACCCCCTTTGCAACCTGGCCCTTTGGGCAGGAAACAGTTGATTTGGTAACAGGCTTTGTTTAGTTCCAGAGTCAACTATAGCTCAGCGAGACAGTGTATCCTGATTAAAACAAAGACTGGCTGACAAAAACATGCAGGGAATGGCTTTTAGTTAAATACTGATCACTAGTATCTCTACATTTACTGGTAGGCTTTCCCTTTTGGCCTCACTGGACAGTATAAGAAGAAATTCCCGGGTTTACCACAATAGAGTCTTTGTCTTAAGAGTCTCAACTGCCAAAACTCAAAACTTCCAAACCCTGCAACACTTGTTGGATGAAGGAATCATACCCTTCCCAATCAACCAGAAACTGGAGAATCCGATCCACCACAGCACACCCAAAATGCTACAGACAGCATTGGTCGAATGGTCACCCACCACCCTGCCAGGTCAACGGAGGGCTAGCCAAGAGGTACAGAGAGCTGGAAGATATGGGATTGATTTGGAACACATGGAATGGAGGATAGATTTTTATGGAAGCAGGTAGTTTAAGGCACACAGCAGAAGTGCCAGTCTTGCATGCTTTCATTGCTATGTTGTTCTTACATTCTGTCTTCTTCTTTTGTTGTCCTTCCTGTCTAGCACACTTGAGAAACAAGACCAGTATGCATGCCTGGTCCAGTCATTCCACTGACTGTCAGGATCGTGTATGTGTCTGTTCTTTGACTTGTGCTCCGATGTCTATCCAGTTTAGGATTAGGCATGTATACATTAAAATGTTTTCAGTTGTAATTATTTTTGATCTGCAGGGCTTCTGGTTAGGATGCCTCCTTAATAGTAGAGTGATACAATCCCATCTGTCCTGGAAACACACCAGACTCCTAAAGAGTTTGTGGAGGATGTGACGAAAAAGAAAGATGTTCAGGCTACTACTCTGTGGCATCTCACTATGCGGAGCGAAACAACAGAAATTTTTCAATACACTTTGTTCTCAGTCACCATCTCTTTTTAACCTGCCTTTTTACGTTTGTTTTCATTCGCTACCTGGCTAGATTTGAGAAAAGATTGTGATTTGGGTTCAAATATGTACCTTTACCCAGCATGTGGAGATTAAAAGATTAAGCGGTACAAGAGAGAAACAGACATGAGTGATTTTGTGCCAGTAATGCCAGTAATGTTAGTACTCTGTACCTGCAGTATTGAAATGAGGTGTGACTGCAAAGAGGGAATGCCATTTTTCCAGAAGAATTCATAGTTCTTTGTGCGTATTTTGGTATATATGAGCATACTTGTGTGAACGCTTCATGTTAGTGTTTGTGTGTGTGTGCGTGTATATTGGTCTGTCTTGCTGAGCCGTGCTCTCTATCCCCAGGTAAGAGCCATCATTTTCTGTCCCTGCGTGGAGCCGTGAAGAAAAATGCGGCTTTCCTTCGTAAGGCGTGTGCGTCTGTCTGCATGGTCCAGCACTAGTTAAAGCTTTACTGGATTCTAGACATGCAAGCAGATTGCAACCTCTCTGCTCACCTATACTCCCCACTTTCCGATGCCTCTCTTCCTCCCCTTTTTATCCACTCCCCCTCCAGTGGAGTAAGCATCTTTCTCTGCAGCCTCCAGAGTGGGGATCAGCTGCCTCTCAACACTGTAAAGTAGTTTATTCTCTTCCTTACCCTTTTTCATGCACCAACCACTGAATGATGATTAAATATGAGGGCCATATATATGAATATCCTCCGACAGTGGAGACATGGAATTTTCCCCCTGATAACTACCCCTGCTGCTGGCAAAATTGCATGTCTTTATTACATTAAAATCTTTACAGTGTTTCATGGCCCTTTAAATTACTTGAGTACATCCAAAATGTAAAAAAAAAACAAAAAAAAACAACCTCAAAGTCCAGGGAATAGGGATACAAGGAGAGAAATAACATTACTGTGCTGAGATGAAACAACTTTTGTAGGAAAGGATCTGCATCTGCCTGACTTGTCTGAAAAAATAACAAGAGGATGTCATCACAGAAAACAACTGGAGTGATGGTTTCGTACCACACGACTCATAAAAAACACTGTTCTTACTATTGTTAGTGATGTCAGAGTCCTCTCCTTGGTTTTTCAGATTCCTTTCCCTAAAGTCCCCCCGCCCCCTCCTGCATCACTATTAGCCTTGCTAGCTGCAATAATGAAACACAGTGGAGAAACAGCTTTGAAATGAGAAATTTAACATTTTTATAAAATCAAATTACCAAAAGCCTGCATGAAAAGATTTGTGTTGTCATTATTAAGACAACGATACAAAGTAGAATTCAGTGTCTTTTGGGGGGTTTGTGTGACATTTTAAATTAAATATATTTTTCATTTTTGTGACTGGAAATAAAATCTGTTTTAGTTTGCTGACAAAAACACCAAAACAAACACGAGACGCTGTCATAAAAACAAATTGTTGTGGAGGATGCTTTTTTTCAGAAATAGCGCCGTGAGTTCATGTTCAAGCTCACCAACACATGCCAACACTTTCTGTTCTATCACTTTTCTGTCTTCCTGTCTTCCCTCCTCTGCCCCTCCTTTCAATACTATATGTTCCTTTTCCTTCTTCATCTCCTTCCCTGTCTCTGTGTCTCAGGTCTTTGGGGTTTTACTCTAACAATAGGCATTAAACTAGTTCAGCGCTCCATTGAGGGGAAGGCACCAGGCTGCTTTTATATTTGAAAGGCTTTTAGCCTCAGGAGAGACCAGAGGGCCCTGAGTGCTTTTAACTAAGTAGCATAGCAGCAGGTGGCACGTGTCGAGGTGAAGAAACACACAGCGTGTTCATGGCAGAGGTATTCAAGTTGAGACAGACCATCGTGATCTCTACAGCACTAAACTCGTTCATCCCTAACCGTGTGTCAAAGTACAGTAACCTAATGCACTGTTCACTCACTGTAGCTTACTTTGACACATCATTGGGCTTACAAACCATCTCTTGGGATAACTACATAATGCAAACATATTCCTTTGGCTCAGAAAGATACACTCACTGGCCATTCCGATAGGTACACTTATTTAGCTGCGCATATCTAATCAGCCAATGACAAGACAGCAACTCAATGCTTTTAAACATGACTTCATGACCTCGCCTGGTGGATTTCTCAAGTTTCAGTAGCAAATCTGCACAAAAGACCAACAAAATGCAGGAATACATGTAACTGGACTTTTTGGCCCAGAATCAATGAGTAAATGGAAAAAGATAATCCCAGTCAGAATAACATTATTAATATCTTTTTTTTTTTTATTGGGGTTTGTTTGCAGGTTTTTTGAGAGGGTCGTGGTTAAGTGCTGATCATATTATTTGGTTTCATGCTGTAAGATCATTTGCACCAGTAGGTTTTACTGAAGATATCTTATTTTAACAAAAGAGGCATTGATATTCATATGCAGTACCTGGCTCTAGTGCCCAGAGGGTGTTACAATAAGTGTTTGAGGTGACAGTAAGGGGAACGCAGCTCATTCCCGCCAGCAGGCAAAGACTGACAGAAGCAATAAAAACCAATGTATCACTTCATATCAATCTCTCCAGCAGCCATCCCCACATTCTTTTCTCCCCTCTCTCCCGCTAACCATACCTCCCTCAGTGCCTCCATTACTTTCGCCCTCCAATCCTGCCTTTCTATTTTCCTTCATTTTTTCTTCTATTCCATCCTTACCTGCCAATTTATATTACTCCTGCCTAAGGACAAAGTGCCACATTTGCAGTGTACTTGTGATTTATATAAACAAAGAAAAAGCTTTCCACCTGTTTGCAAATCTGCAAAATTATCACTGCGGCGAGGAGTAAAACTGTACTTTTTGTTTTTAATAGTTTGATTGTTTTTAAAGACCAATCCCCTCCCCACACACCATCTGTAGACTACAGATAGACATCTTTTTTCCCCAACTCTTTGGGTCTTGAAATCACAAATAGATTTTATCAAGTTTTAATCCCCTCAAAGTAAAGCAATCCCCCAGCTTGAAAATGGAAATCCTTCTAAATAGCCCCAATTTTGAATACCCAAAAGTTAAAATCGAGCACAGAAATGGTTGACTAATTTCAAAAATTGTGGCGATGTCAATAAGCATGCTAATGCTTCAGCTTAGTTTCATTCACCACAGCAGCAATTGGCAGAATTAGAATTAGTCAACCTTTTCCTCAAGTGTTGTGTCTGTGCTACCTTTTTAGCTTTAGGCATTAAGCTGTGGAATTATATTACTTTGGTTTAGCACCACAAACTAACAAGGTTGCAAGGTTTGTGTCCCAGGATTCCTAACTGGCAACTTAGTGTGTAATTAGTGTGGGCAATCAGTGCAAAATTTGGGAATGGTTTTATTGACTCTAGGGTATGTGTGTAGCCGTGTGCCTTAATTAGCAGGATTGAATAATGCTGACTTTTTCATTCCTATACTTCAACAGTGGTTTTAATTAGCTTGTATGCTGGTGCAAGATAACTCCGATAAAGATCAAATGTTTAACACCAACCAAGTGTCCAGTGCTCCTCGCTACCTGAACACTGGTTGCACTTTGTAGCTCTCAAGTGTGTTGTCTTGCACCTGTAAAATTCTACAGTGTTTTCCGTTGCATAATTATGATGTCCGACCCATTTCTCCTTCTGGTTAATTCATCTCTCTTTCTGTTTCTCTCCACATCTGTCAATTTTTTTCCCTTTCTCTGCTGCTGCTCATCTCTGTCTCTCAGTGAGCATGCCAGCCAGCGAGAATGAATCAGTCAACACAGACAACGCCCCCGGGGGAGACGTAGAGGGTGAGACCTGCTGTACCCGGCTGGCGTAAGTATCTCACCGTCTTTCACAGACACACCTTTTCTCCTCCTTCTTTTCCTCAGCTTTCTCACCCATCTTTTGTCAGGTTTAAGGACAGATTGCATCCTGCAGTATTGTGCATGGAAGAATTGCCTCAGATTGCTTGTATACTTTACTGATCTCACAAGTCTGTTAGACTACAGTAGCACGAAGCTGTCAATATACTCCACATGGATAAAGTTCTGTTAGAGTAAAATTGGATAGATCTGAAGGGGAACTAATCAGAGCTGCTCCTGGAAGTGTTTTTTTTTTTTTTTTTAACTTGCTAGTTTATTAGTAGTGCTGTGCCAACTGCCCTTTTTTTCCACTTTCTATCGGCAAACTGTTGCTAAGCAAGAAAATTGAGGGAGCAAAAATTAGTTGCTAGATCGCAGTTCCAGTTAAAAAATGATTTTAATTTCGTTTTATGGTTGTTTTCCTCATATCACAATTATAAATGTACTATTGCTATCAGTTTGCGAACTAGAGGTTTATCATTTGAACACAGTTTTTAAGTTTATCTAGTTGGGTAGTGAGTGCACACAACTGCTACACATGGTACAAGGACAAAGCCAATCATTGCTTGGGAGCTAATGAATTTTGAAAAGCAAGACATCCTAACTACATCTAATAGTATTCCGTCTTTATTTTTTCTTTCATCTCTCTCTGAGTTTCCGTTCTCTCCCTCTCTACCCACTTTTCTGTGTTAGCTGTTGAAGTGCTTTCTTCCGCCCCTGTGGGAGCTCACAAACAGCTGACTCACTCATTCCCGCTTCCCGCTCTGCTTTCATTTTTTACATTATTCAAACAAATGTGTTGCTTTCTTTCTTAGACACAAGACAGCACAGGGGCCGCGACCCCAGCGGACTTATTTCAGTACACACATGCAAACACACCTGCATAAAAAACTGTTGCTCACGAGCAGAAATGCATTACACAGAAACTTTAATCTTAAATTTAAACTGATTCACTCTCAACCGCAGGAGCGATAAGGCTAGTTGGCACACGTGGATGGCACGCTGTTGTTTATCTGTAGTCTCACTGTCCATCTGTTATTTCATCTTTGTTATGTTGTATGTGTTTATTTGTGATCTGTCAGGCTAAAATAAAAAAAATAAAAGGGTATGTCATATGTGAAGCTTAAGCTGGAACCAGAAATGAAACATGGAATAATGAAATGCCAAATAAATAAGAAACCAGCGATTTGATACTTACAAATTAATTTTGTAAGTAAACTAATTTTCTATTACATTTCACGACATTACTTTTTTTCTTTTTCACAGTTTCTTTTTCTTTGTTGTCATAAAGTAGTAAAAAGGTTCTGCTCTTTTGTTCAAGCACACAGATGTCTCTTTCCTTTACTAAAATTTATAATTAGACAATTATTTGATTGGCTATGTTGCATCACTTTAGTCACCACTAACCTTTGAGGACATGCAGTTCTGGATTACGTTTTTTTTTTTTAATTAAATATTATTATTGGCTACGTAACGGTTTTTCCAACTACTCACGTTGCCAGTCAGTGTAATAAAGATGATGTATTGCAATACATCCTCATCCCAGGCACTACAGGCTATGGACATCCATGCCATGAAGCTCCAAGTGTACAGTATCTGTACTGATTTTAATGCCAGAGGAGGTTTGGAATTCTGCAAGTGTTGAGTCAGCAGGGTGTTGGTGACTTTTGCACACTACACACCTCCGCACTCGTTCATTGTCTGTGAAATATCTAGAAAGAAAGAAATTTTACAAGCTCACTTGTTGCAACAGTGGCTTTCTATTATGGTACCATGGTTGAATTCAGTGATCTCTTTAGAACAACCATTCTTTCACAAATGTTTTAAAGGCAACCTGCATGGCTAGGTGCTTTTAATTCAGAGATTAAGATGTGTGGCCAAATACTTTTGTCCACATAGTGTAAGTGGCCGTAGCTAAAGTCATTTATATCTTGCTTGAACTTTCATTTGCTGACTTGGTTTCTTTTTTTAATCTTGGACTATGTTTATATATTTTAAACTATATTTATAGGCTCAGGAGTTCTGCTACTCCAGCAGTTTTAACCAAACCGCATTAGCTGACATGCTGAGGATTAGACGGGTCAGAATATTTAGGAAATAAATGACATAATATTTGCTTTATTATGTTGTTTTCTTGGCGATCAGTAATGCCCTTGGTGTTACCATTCATAACGTTTCATTTAAATTTACATATCCAGAGAATGATATGTAGTGTACCCGTGTCAGGACTAGAAATATAGCCCCTTATTCTTTCTCTGTGAGATTTCAACAAATTTGACATGGAGCATTCCTCCCAGTATTCCGGAGGAAAGACTTCAGAGTATGTCAGTTCTTCTTCACATCGGCATGGAGCTGTTCCTCACAGTACAAGCTACTTTAGCACCCACTGGTCTCGTAATCAAGACGGACACATGAAGACAAGAGATGTGTGTCCTGTCAGCTCCCATATCCAGCCAGTCAGTCAGTGAAAACATTTCATTGCTTCGGTCAGTGAGCTCGTCGGTTTATTTATCTGCTTTTACCAACATCAGAGTAGTCAGTGAAAACAATCCAAGAGAAGTTTCATGGGGACCATAAAATTTTCAGATCTTTTTAAAAATGTGGATATAGTTAAACTAATCGTGGTCATTCAGCATCCCCACAGATTTGTGATCAAATCAAATATTTAAAGTCATAAATTGAGTGATTCTTTTTTTTCTTTAGTTTTATTTTTTAGATTAAAATTTTTACACCATGGGGACTCTTCTCTCAAAATGTCTTCCATAATCTCTTGTCCTCAGTTATCCATGTTGTACTTTTTCCCGTTACAGTGGTGAACAATCAACAGACATTTTGTTACAATAATAAATGACGTTTCTTTTTCACACCAGGATTGATTGAAGGAAATTCAAACTCGCAGTTTGCTTTCTTTTGACTGGATGCCACTGTATGTGTGTTTGGGGGTGATTTGTTCAAGAGAAAAGCAGGAAATATAACGGCAAAGTGCATTTTGTTATATTGTACCCAAAATCTGTTCCCAGTGGGTGCATAAAAATGGACAGGCCGTTTTTTTTTTTTGCTAAACGCAGATATGTTCTTTGATCATCCTGTGGAGAGAATCAGCAGTTTTTGTGCTTGCGTATCGGGGAATGTTTGAGGTTGATCAAGAAACATATGCCAAGACATTTGTGATAATAAGGGAAGCTATTCCCCTTTATCCCTCTCAAATCACCCCTTTCATGTGCACCTGTCTATATGTGTGTTATGTGTGTATGTATAATCCATTCTGTTTTCTGTGTTCCAGAATTAGGATCTCCAAATCCAAGTTCAGGTTAGTACATGTTGTTTACCATAGTCTCTTAATTCACCTGCTCTAATGTCTCTAATGCTGTGTTATTTAATTGGTCGTTGGTGTTTTTGTGTGTGTTTGTGCCTGTGTGTGTGTGTGTGTGTGTGTGTGTGTGTGTGTGTGTGTGTGTGTGTGTGTGTGTGTGTGTGTGTGTGTGTGTGTCGGGGGGTGTTTGTGTGCAGATGTGCAAAAGGAACACAGGCAAACATAGCCTTGCTCTTTGGAGAAACTGTTGCGAATATGTCGGTTCTTCTCTTGCAGAGTTTGATGAGAAGATCGTTGCCATGGTTATGTTTGTGCAGTAAAATAAATTTATGGTAACAATTATTTAAGCTTAGCATAGTAGTTATCAGACTGCAGAGTAGCAGACAGGGGAAAAATATAGAGTGAATGAGATGAATGAAAATGGAAGATAAACAGACAAAAGTTTTGGTGGTAATGTTTAATCAGAAAAATTGATTATTTCTTGCTTGGTAGTGATGTGAACTGTTGCTTAAATGGGGTATGTCAAATAAAGTTTAAAATAAATATTGTAAACAGCCTCGTTCTGTCCTACCACCACATTTAAAGCAAAAAAGTTGCCAGTAAATATGTTAGATTCGCCACATTTGTGGAGAATATTTATGGAACATGCTCAAATGATTTTTTTATGTCTCATTACAGAAACAAAACACACATCACAGCTTCCACAAAATCTGCATACTGACTGTTTACTATTTGTTTACTCTTTGACTTCTATGGAAACCTAATATGTCCCTTTATTGTCCCTCTCACGTCTCAGTATCTAGATTAAATGCATACATAATACATTAAGACCACACTGGCTTCATTAAAGGTCAATACAGTGGTCCCTTGTTTATCGCGGGAGTTATGTTCCAAAAATAACCCGCGATAGGTGAAATCCACGAAGTAGCCAACTTTATTTTTTACAATTATATAATTACAATTATATATATAGATGTTTTGAGGCTGTAAAACCACTCACTACACACTTTACACACTGTTCTCAGACAGGCATGAGCATTTTCACACTTTTCACTCTTATTTATAGACCCTGAAAGTTCAAACCTTTGTAGAAAAAATATGTCCAGTATTACAGAATGAAACCAAAGGCACCCGCGGTTGCCTTTGATGGTGCAAAACATTTTGTCACATTGTTGTGCTTGTTGGGGAGAAAATGTACAAACAATTTGACAAGCTGAACGCATTCTGTACTGTACAGAAGACCCACACGAGATTGATTGACAGTGGTCTACAGCCCATCAGGACGCAGAACACAATGCGCTGTCAAAAAAACAAAAAACAAACAAACCAAAAAAAATAACCCAAAAACCATGAAAAATTGCACACACAAAAAATCCGTGAATCAGCGATGTCGCGAAAGGTGAACTGCGTTATAGCGAGGGACCACTTTACTCCTCAAATAATACACTTAGACTATTTAATTTAATTGCGAGAACAATAAGTTGTTGTTACAGTGATGGAGAAAAAGCTTTTGATAAGGTAAACTTTGGATTTATTGAATCAGTCTATAACTTCTGTATACCACACCATTAGCCACTGGCACTACGAATGGAATAATCTCACAAAATGACACACGAAACAGGGGTACTAGGCAAAGATGCCCATCACCATCAGTCTTCTTTTTTCTTTTTTAATTGAGCCACTCATAGCGCCTACAGTATCTGTCAAAATAAAAATATCATCTGAATCCCAACATCTAATAATAACCTCAAGATTAATCTTTATGCAGACGACATTTGACTTTTCATGCAAAATCCATATTCATCACTACTTGAAACAATGAGCATTATCAAGGAATTCTCAAAAATTTCCAACTATTCCATAAAATGGTCCAAATTCTTCCACTGATATCTCCATAGCTGGGATGGGACAACGAACTAACTATCCCTCTGTACACAAAGTATTTGAAAAACACTAATGTTTCTTGAATTGGAGTCACGGACACGATAAAAAACTGTAGCGTAACGATGCATGCCTGCTTGTGTTGTGAGTGTGTCTCATGTAAAATTCAGTGTGAGCATCATGGCAGAAGCCAGTGTGTGCCATAAGTGACTATAAAAAGCACTCACGCACATTTAAACAGAAGACTGATGCAACATATATAGGCAGAGGGAGAAGATTCTCTGGTGGGCTGTGTTGATCTGTTTGAATTAGAGGAGTCACAATTGGATGAAAAATCCTCTTGCATGTTTGCTGCGGTTGACAAATGGGTCAAGTACGCATAATGCAAAGACACCCACATGTGTACAAAATCATGACAAAGTGACTTACAGTGTTTATTTGGAGAAAAAACAATTAATTGCTCGTTCTTTTTTAAAGCAATTCATTACATAAATATATAATCAGTGTCTAGGCTATTGAAATTATGTGAAAATCTTAAGTGAAATTCATGCGTCACTACTTTTCCACCTGTAGGCCAACAAGACCACAAGCTGCTCTTCGTTAGTGTTTTTGATGTCACTTGACCAGAATAGGACAGTTATGAAATTACAGTCGACACCTTATCAGTATATGAGCGTCGAAACACCCTTTGAGTGGAGTTTTTCACACAGATGTGACTGCGAAGTTTAACGCTAGCAATTATCAGAAACAATGACTTTCATTTCCAACATGAGAGAGCATTCAAGGTGCAAAAGACCTGACCACAGCATAGAGGAAGATATTAAAATCACTAAATTTAAAAAAAAAGGGGGTTGGCATCCTAAAATGAGCTACTTCTCTTTTTAAAGCATTGTTTTCCTTTGTGTTGTGAGACACAATACAACATATTTCACTTTATATTTGCCCCTTTGATCATTTTTAGAGCGCAAATGTTCTTTTTTTTTCTCAAACAGTGCATATCTCATGCTCCAGCACAGCTCTTTGTACTGGTTTCTCCTTTCTGTGAAACGCCTTTGAGGATGACTAACCCTCGACCACAGACCGAGGCGTGATGTCATCACTGTTTTGTAGAAAACCTAATTGACTCTTTCTTGTCCTTCTTCCACTTCCTCTATTTGTTTTTCACCATTCGTTTCTTTCTTTTGATTATTTTTCTTGGTTTATCCTATTGCTCGTGGGTCCTTTTCTCTTCCTTCATCTTTCCCTTTTCCCACCATTCTCTGTCCCATCCTCCTACCTCTCTTTTCTCTCCCACCTTTTCCCAACTTATTATCTCTGCTTCTTCCTTCTCAGCCGCTACTCTCGGAGGTGGAACAGGCTGTGTCGAAGGAAATGCCGGGCAGCAGTCAAATCACAAGTTTTCTATTGGCTGGTCATTTTCCTGGTTTTCCTCAACACTCTGACCATTGCCTCTGAACATCACCAGCAGCCTCAGTGGCTAACTGATGTACAAGGTACATTGCTCAACCCACACACATGCACACAAAACAGTAATATGTCTGATCTGGGCTTAATTATTGACCTCTGTGCAATTACTTTCTTTGGCATTATATTTTCATCCCACACTAATTTTACTCCCCCTTTATTTCCCTCCCCAGACATAGCCAATAAGGTTTTGCTAGCACTCTTTACTGGAGAGATGCTGTTGAAGATGTACAGTCTGGGCCTGCAGGTAGGACACTGTATCACTGTTTTGTGTTAACATTGACCACATTCTACCCTTTTTTCTACCTTTAACGTCTGCGTTTTGCTTCTCACAGGCCTACTTTGTTTCACTCTTCAATCGGTTCGACAGCTTCGTAGTATGTGGAGGGATCCTTGAAACCATTCTGGTGGAAACAAAAATCATGTCTCCTCTTGGCATCTCTGTGTTACGTTGTGTACGCTTACTCCGAATCTTCAAAATAACCAGGTTAGTGTAGACCTTAAAGCATATGCATTTGATAAGCAGAAGTTATTCCTTCAGTCCTCCAACAGGCAAGATACTCACCCAGATACCTAATGCTATACTGAACATAAAGTAACATCTTTTTAATAATAATAATAATAATATATACTTTATTGATCCCCGTGGGCAAATTCCTCTCTGCATTTAACCCATTCACTCAGTGAAGTAGTGGGCAGCCATGGGCGCCCAGGGAGCAGTGTGTAGGTACGGTACCTTGCTCAGGGGTACCTCAGGGTAGCCGTTCAGTGGATTCGAACCCCCAACCTTCCAATCATGGGGCCACCACTCTACCACTCTACCTACTGAGCTAACACTGCCCCGTTTTACAGTGTTTCTATACCAGTGGAGCCTTAATTTTGCATTCAGCAAAGCGGAAACAGAGGATGAAGAACTAACAGGTTACAATAGGTCTGTGATGCAATTACCAAAAACAACAAACAAACTTGGATTTTATTTTGCCACAGTAATCATTTAGTGAGAATTTCCTATTGTGACTAGTTTACATACACTCATTGACCGCTTCATTAGGTACACCTCGTTATAACGAGGTGGATGCAGTTTTGCCTTGAGAACTGCTGTAATTCTTCAAAGCATAGATTCAGCGCTGTGCTGGAAACCTTCCTCAGAGGTTTTGGTCCATATTGACACGATAGCATTTGTCAGCTACACATCCTGTTCACCACATCCCAAACGAGCGCTATTGGATTGAGCTTTAGTGACTTTTGAGGCTAATAGAGTCCAGTTAACGTATTGTCAAGATTAGGAAAGCAGTGGGAAATGATTTGAGCTTTGTGACGTGGCGCCTTATCCTACTAGAAGCAGTCGTCAGAAGACACTGTGGTCATAAAGAGATGGACAGCAACAACAGCCAGGTATTGGACTGGATTCAAGGAAGGATGGATCTATGCTTTCATGTTGTTTATGCCAAATGCTGACTCAACCATCTGAATGTCGCACCATAAATCAAAGCTCATCAGACCAGGCTGACACCAACAACTATGCCACATTCAGAGTCACTTAAGTCACTGCATTAATCAGTTTAACAGGTGTACCAAATACAGTCCAGTGATTGTATATTGGCTTTTTAGACTTGTCAAGGTTTGGGAAGCATAGGGGTGAGGATCCAAATACAGGATTTCAGAAAGAAACCTTAATAACAAAGCAAAGTTTTCAATAGTAGCTTTGAATATATGTAAACTGGAGTAAAAATTAACAAGGTCTAAGAACAAAAAATCAGCACAACAAAACATGCAAAGGCTACACACAGAGAACACACTGTGACAAAGACTGGACTATTTATACACAAAGGGCTAATTAGGAAATGAATAACAGGAGGGTAACACACCCACACACAGGTAAAGACAATGGCAGAAAGGCAGATTGGAAGCAAAACATACACAGGACGCACAAAAACACCCACTTGAAAACAGGGAGTAACCAAAATACTCACAGAGATACGACGGTCACATTAACATGAAGACAGAGACAAAGGAACTCTGGAGGGCAAACACATAAAACAGAAACACAGAACAGAGGGAAAAAAACTATAAAGGAAACACTTAAAAGTTCAATCCTACAACTGAAACACTAAATCATGAATCCAGGATGGCAAAACATAAACTTCTTAGCAGGAAACTCCGGCAGCACTGTTAAACTGAAACAGAAACTATCAGACTCCCTTCTAGTCACTTCTAAACTATAAAGAAATCAAAATAGAAATCCAACAGTCAACCTACCAAATATATTATAACAAGACTACCATTTCAACTAAATTTCTCTTCCTTTAGATATTGGAACTCTTTGTCCAACCTGGTGGCATCCCTGCTGAACTCTGTCCGCTCCATCGCTTCCCTGCTGCTCCTGCTGTTCCTCTTCATCATCATCTTCTCCCTGCTGGGCATGCAGCTGTTTGGGGGAAAATTCAACTTTGACGAGACCAGACGAAGCACGTTTGACAACTTCCCCCAGTCTCTGCTCACTGTGTTTCAGGTAATCATGCGCCACTTTTTCTCGTGAAGTGTGTCCGGCCTCCATTGTCACCTTACATTTGTCCTTGAATGATACAAAAAGTGTAAATTTTATAATGTTGCTTAATTAAATGTAATCTGTCACTATCACGAGGCTGAGGCTTCTTTTAAATGAAAATAAATTTTTATAAGATTTTGTTTACTGTCTTCTGTCTCTACAGATCCTGACCGGAGAGGACTGGAACTCTGTGATGTATGATGGTATCATGGCGTACGGTGGTCCAGCTTTTCCTGGCATGCTAGTTTGCATCTACTTCATCATCCTCTTCATCTGCGGAAACTGTATCCTACCACAACAGGAGGTCCCCATTGTCACAAAGCACTTGCTCATAGGGAATCTTTTGGTTGTTCTAGATTGTTGCAGAGTCTTTCTATTATAATGTCAGGTCCTTTTAGCTGTTGGTGCTATGTAAATACAAATACATGGAATAGCTACACCAGTAACCCAGGACATGTGGGCGTGATGCTTATACATGTAGAATTTCAAAATAAAAACATGGTGAGTCAGATCCAGTAACTGACAGTCAAATTTGTTTTCTGACAATCTTTAATCCTGTCATCAAATGGATACTGGTGTTGCTGATTGTGATTTGAATCACTGAGTCACATCTGATATCTAACCCCTTGTTAAGATGCAGTTGCAGGGGAAAAGAACACATTTTGCATGCAGATGCTTTCCCTAAAGCTAAAAGATTTTAGTGCGGGCCACTGAGCGTCTGTACTTAAAAGTTCAGAGTAGTTAAAAATGTGTTTTTCAGATTAAATTGTTACTATTCATCAGCTTAGCCTGTTGAATCCAAAGCCAGTGCAGGATTAGTCATTTGGCTTTGGAGTCTGCATTCATTGGTTTTGAATGATGTTTATCTGATCACTTCAACATAACAGTCTATGAACATTAACTGATTTTTTTTTTTTTTGATTTATTGATTAGCATTCAAATATCTCAGTGAATAAAGAAAAAAGATTACCACAAAGCAAGAAAGCACAAGACAAGGCTAATCAAAAGGTATTGGCTGAAGCATTTGCTTATTACGCCAACCCTTTTAACAAAAGATGTTTTAGCATGCAGCTCCTGTACACAGGGCTCGAAGCAAAGAATAAAACAAAGCAAAAAACAAAACAAAAAACAAAACAAAACTCACTTTTTAACCCAAGCCTCAAGTGGTCATTACAGTAACTGTAGGTTTTGGCTTCCTTTTTTAGCCCCAGGGGTTGCCACCTGTTTATAGCCAGCTTTGTTTGTGATCTGATGGGTCAGCAACATCCTTAACATCACCCCTCTGAACAGATATCCTGCTGAATGTCTTCTTGGCCATTGCTGTAGACAATCTGGCAGACGCCGAGAGCCTGACATCAGCCCAGAAAGAGGAAGAGGAGGAGAAGGAGAGGAAAAAACTGGCCAGGTAAAGCAGAAAACTGAATGGAGGCAGTCAGACAAAAAATTGTAAAGGGATAGAGGGAGATGTTGAGACCTGGCCAATCCAAACAGCACCCAGGGAAAACATTAGCTTGCAGCATCTTGGATAGCCTATTATTTCTCAAGGTGAATAAGGATGCTGACACTAGAAGCTTGAATTAAACCACTAAAATTGCTTTTTAATACATAGAATACAAATATATTATTTGGCTTTTCTCTACAACAGTTTATTATTTTTTTCATTATCATTGCAAAGATTAATTCCCAGCAAAGATCAAAGTTGAGTTTAAAGTGCAGCTGAGAAAGAAAGTGTTCTTTAGCACAAATCATAAAAATGTATTCTGCTTAGTTGCAATCTGTATTAATCTATGGAAAAGGTGCAACAGAAAATTGTAATTTTCCTCACAGCTGAGAAAATACCCCCCTATGATTACACGTCTTTATGTTGTCCCTCTGATGTTAATTTATGTATGGAGAAGGGATGATGCTAGAGTTGAGGATCTTCTTGTTCTCTCTCCTTCTCCAGGCTTGGCAGTCCAGAGAAGCGTCATGAAAATGAGAAGCCGCCTCTGGAAGAAGAGAAGAAGGAGAAAATAGAGCTGAAGTCCATTACTTCTGATGGGGAGACCAACACTGCTACAAAGGTACATAGAGACACACAAAGACTCAGTAAGAATATGTGTGTCTGTTCAAAGGAGTGAGAAAAAATGAACGAAATCTCATACTTCTCCTTTTCAGATTAACATGGATGACTGCTGTGGGGATGAGAGCGAAGAGAAGAATCCATATCCCGCCAATGATTATATAGGTAACACACACCACAGCCATAAATATTATGTGTTCCTATAGGTATAAGGTAAGAGGTGGTTTCATTGAGAATTTTGTCTTTGTTATTATAAAAAACAGTTAGTTACTAACATTATATTCCTTCTTCCCCCTTTCCTTCTTTATCTTACTCTCCTCTTTCCCGTTCCTCCTAATCAGGAGATGAAGACGATGATGAGCCAGAGATGCCTGTGGGCCCGAGGCCACGGCCCCTCTCTGACATTCAGCTGAAGGAGAAGGCTGTCCCCATGCCTGAGGCCCGAGCTTTCTTTATCTTCAGCCACACCAACAAGTAATCTTCCTCTCCAACTTCATTTTCTCTGCCCAAGATTTCAGTCAGCTTCTGCTGCATTTGTTTTGGCATCCTTTTCCTTTAAAGAGACTAGATGAAAACATTTTGCTTTCTTTCTCTCTTGAACTTTGTTTTGTAGGTTCAGGGTTCTCTGCCATAAGGTCGTCAACCACAACATCTTCACCAACCTCATCCTCTTCTTCATCCTGCTCAGCAGCATCAGTCTAGCGGCAGAAGACCCTGTCAAAAATGACTCCTTCAGAAATAAGGTAGCATATAAGTGATATAACGCCCGTCTACTCGATTTGAGCGCATTCATAGACTGCTTTTATCTATACTTAAGCACTTTTATCTAACATTCACATACACTCTCACACGTCAATTAATGAATCTGGGGCAAATCAGGGTTCAGTATCCACAGCAGTATTTCGGCAGTATATCTAACAACCTTATGATTACTGGACGACCAGCTCTACTGCCTGAGCCACAGCCACCTGTAAGCATAAAAAAACCCATATATAACAGTATAAATAAAGTATATAAAGACATACAATGCCGGATGTACAGTAAGGCACAGTAGCCATAATTAGATGCCCACACGCACACTCATTCTGACCTAAATGGATTATAGCTATAGAGGAACCAAAGCTTATTGTGAGTGGCCCGTTACACTTAATGAGATTTCGTCTCGAGTACTGTAACTGTTACTAACTTCATGTTAAGAAGATATGAAACGCCTCTTAAGCTTTGTGCTCTTTTAAACTGTTTTATTAGCCAAAAAGAAAAATGAGTAGTTATTGTATCATTTTGTACACATACAGTGTGAAAATATATTTATGGGGGTGTTTTTTGTGTTTGTTTTGCTAAATGTCAACATTTAATCAAGAAATGAATGTATTTACTGTTTTAGTGTTTGCACAGTCTGTTTTGACAATGTGTAAGAAGTTGTGTCTTTTAATTCGTATGCAGCAGCGGAGACTTCGTGTTTAGCCTCAAGGCGAGCTTTGAAACCGCAATATTTGCAGTTACTTTGCAGTATACGAAGGATATATCCGCAATTGTACTCGCTGTGTGACATCAGCCCGTTGTTCGTAAATTAATGTGGTGTTTATGACTGTAATGGAGCTGTAGTCTAATGTAAACACCATGTGTGCTGCTGTATCTGTTTTTGTGCACAGTTTCCTGTCTCAGTCAGTGAGACGTATTCCTCAGAGGCCAATAAAGATCTGTTTTATTATATTTTCCCTTGCTTTGGTGTAGGATCCTATTATATATTCTATTAGTCTAAACCAATTAACCTTAGTCTGAAACAGTAATGAAATCAAAAAACCTTTTTTCCAGCATTTCTATTTTAGTTCATTTGGACCTGAACATTATCATTATTTCAGTAAGTTGTGGAGTCATTTATGTTATGCTGCAGCTGACCGTAAGTCCTGCTTTTTCCCAAAAAGAAGCACACATTCATTGCCAAGTTTTACCACACATTTTACCAAGTTTAGGGCTTCAAGAGTGCTTCTGCTAATGGGGCACAAATAGATTGTATATAGGCAGTGGACATCACCAACTGGTTTGTAGACTGATGTTCTGAAGCCTCTAGATGAGCATTTTGACTGTTTCTATCTTGTTTTTTTTTATCTTCTGTATAAAAATTTACTTCTATACAATGGATGAGCACAAGAGTTCGCCATCTTTTCAGGCCCAGTAGCTACTGCCATCATTTATGTACAGACTATGAACCTAAAAAAAGTGCCTTCTAATGCTGTGTTTGGGTCGTGGGTGGCGCATTGGCTAGTCGTACATCTCTGGATTTTTGTAAATCGGATTGCGCCACAGCCACCGCAGCTGAGTTGAGCGGCCGTGTCGTTTTTTTAGCGGCATTTTAATAATATTCCAGCACAGGAGCTCAGACACATACAGATATACAGTTTGAAAACATCCGGTTTTGATTTCTTCTCCTCCTACATTAGTGCTTGTGTGGTGATACTGTCTGAGTGGCGACACCTATCCTTCAGAAGAATACCGCAGCACCTTCCTGCACTGTAACGGCAGGTGTAAATACGGGTTTCTGTTAAAATCACTTGCAGTGGTCAGCGAAGCGACCATTACAGCGGGTATACTGTGGCCTTAAGAGAGTCATGAGCATTTCTGAATTCATTCAGCTTTGCTTTGTGAAATGTTAAACAATCTTGGTTCATTAAGAACTTTGTCATGGCAAATGAAACAGTGTAACAACTTTGATCTCTGTTCATTCAGAAAGCCTTTGCGTGTCGGGCAGGGGTAGTCCAAGTCCAGTTAAAATACAGTGTTGTATTTATTTTCAGATCCTGGGCTATGCAGATCATGTGTTTACTGGACTCTTCACCATCGAGATCATTCTTAAGGTAGTATTTAATGTTTGTGATGCACACTAAAGCATTCATTCACTGTTCATTCAGTTTCTTTTTTTTTTCTTTGCTAAAATTAACATTTGGCTGTCAAATAATATTTAATCATTACAAGCTGGTTCATGTGCTTACCAAAAATTATTTACTGGATTTAGATGTATAGATAGGAAAACTGTAGATGTGGTAATATAGTGTTGTTTCTGGTAAGCTAGCATTAAACCCTTCTAAAATATTGCTGCTCATGGTAAAAGGTAATAATCTGAACTTTGACCCCTGCAGATGACAGCCTATGGCGCCTTCCTCCACAAAGGTTCTTTCTGTAGAAACTATTTTAACATCCTGGACTTGGTGGTGGTCAGCGTGTCCCTCATCTCCTCTGGAATACAGTGAGTACAGTACGATGTTTTATGGTGCATGTGTTATACCTGATCCAGTCAATTGTAAGCTTTTGTTCACCAATATTACTAACATTTTCCAAATATCATTATACACGCATTTGTGTTATTGTCTCGTATATAATCACACAAATTGTGACTACTGCGTGAGACACAAATCAAGTGCCTAAGTCGGAAAAAAAAAACGTTTTTATTAGCAAATTGCTCCGTGCTTTACACTTCTCTGTCTTCTCATAACAAGTTCACACTTCATTACTCCTAATCCGCTGTCTCTTTGTGATGTTTATTAAAATGTTCTCTTCTTCTTGCAGCAAATAACTCATTGAAATGCTGTGATGTTTAATATTCTATACTGCACTTTCTGTCTCTGATGCTTAATAGACTAGACTTCTCGACGTAAGTCCATATTAGTCCGTGTTATAACCCCTTTAACAGACCGTCACCTGAACCGTGTAAAGCTGTCACTTTTTTGATTTGATATTCCTATAGTCTTGGAGAGTTTAGTCGAAGACTCACTCAAAGCAAGAACAAATAAAACCAAATCTGTCACTGAATGGTTTTGTCGAGTAGGATAACACTGAACTTGTAACGAATGAACACATGCAGTTCTTTTTGAGCCAGATCCACTGCAGAATGCATCTTTTGCAAGCAGCAACATAATTGGTTTCTACCCAGAAAAAGTGTTACATTGAGTAAATTATCCTGGGTCTTCCAATACTCTCGTCGCATTTCATATCCAATTGATGTTAATGAGTTTGTTCTTCTTTTTTTTCACTTTTTGTCATGGATTTTGGGGGCAGGTCAAATTCAGTTCTCATATTTCTAGATAAATGCAACTCTCCTGGGTTATAGAAATGACGCCCTAATGCTAGAATCCAGTGGTTTTTGCCTGTTAAAGGTAGCGAGTGAGTGGGATTTTTCTTTATTTATCACAGTTAAAAGAACTGCAATGATGTTATGATCAACTAAACCACTTCTGTGATATAGTTTTTTTATTTTTACTCCTACAAAATAAGAACCCATTTTAAGTATAAGTTGTAGAGAAGCTGTGAAAAAAACGCTCATAAAAAAGCATGTAAAAAATCTCCTACTGTACATATGACAGATTGCTTGTTTGTGTTGTCACCCCGAGTAAGCCTCATAATGTGACAGCATGAAATATGGCTTACATCAGCTAAGAAGACAGAACTATAGCAAAACAATACCTGATGACCTCATCTATTTTTGCTCTCTTATCGCTAGTCAGAGTCCTTTTCATCAGGTGGATGGCGTGCTTCATCCCTGTCATCAGACTCCGACAGTTAAAATATCTCCTTTTAACATAATTTGACGTTTCCACGAATAACCTACCTAGTTGGTTTGACTGTGATATGCGATTGATAACATCCTACTCCACACGAGCTACCTTTAAGTGCCTTTAACTTCCACATTTCTCTGTAAAAAGTTGCACAGCGGGTAATTTTTTTCTTTTGTTTCTCACTCTTTGTTTCAAAGTTAGCACAGAGTATTGTTTCCCTCCAAATCACAACTTTACCCATCAAGAAAGTCACTCCTTGAAATCTATTTATGTTGACATTTTGAAAACACCTTCTTTTCCTTGTACTTGTGTCACACAGTGGAAAGCGTTTTTGTATTTTTCCTTCATTTATCTGAAAAACTGGCTTTTTAAATAAAGGGAAGCGACTTTGACCAACTCAGCTCAGGTATAAATAATCACGCTGAGAGAGGCCCGGTTCAGATCAGAGAAGGACTAATGCTAAAGCTCTTTCCAGACAGTTACTGTACAACTCAAAATGTCATGGTATTAATTTTATTCTTTTTTTTCCTTTGTATGTAAATCACTTTCTTTTAAAGCTCTACCTGAAAAAGGTCACACCATTTGACCTTTGGCTTGTAGTGACACTCTTTTACAGCACAGTAGTTTGCTTGTAAATGTCTGCCTGTGTCTTTATGTTGGCCCATCCGTGTTGTTTCATTATGTGTGTTTGTCCATATATTATATGTGTTTCATGTGCATTACTATGTAACGGATACACTGTTACTAATATCTGTTTTTGAGGAGCTACAGTTAGGTCCATAATTTGTCAGACAGTGACATAATTTTGGCACTTTTGCCTCTGTGAACCATTACAATGGATTTTAAATCAAACAATCAAGATGCAATTAACTTTAATTGCAGACTTTCAGCTTTAATTTTAGGGCTTTTACAAAAATTTTGCATGAACGGTTCAGGAATTACAACAATTTTCATATACGCTCTCCTATTTTCAGATGCTCAAAAGCAATTGGACAATTGGTGGACTAACATTGATGGCCTGTTCCTTTCTTATTTCATGACACACCCAAACATAATATCTGAAGTGCAAAAAATGTTGCATTTTTAAATATGAGGCTCAAAGAGATGTCAGTGCAATTGAAGGAGGCCCTCATTAAAAACAAAATAAACTAAAGTAATAAACTTTTTAAAATATCAGAGAGATAGGAGAAACACTGCAAAGGGCTGAAATACCACAAAAGACAACTAAGGAACATGATGTACGATGATATTTCTTTAAGATTGATCTTTAAAAATATATTTAAAAATGTGCTTTGTCGTTTAATTGTCCAATTACTTTTGAGTCTCTGAAAATGGTATCAAACAATGGCTTTAATTACTGAAATGTTATTGCAAACTTTTGTAAAATCACCTTGAATTAAAGCTGAAAGGGGGAAATTTATTCACATCTTAATAGCTTGATTTAAATCAACTATGGTAGTTTAGAAAAAGTAAAAAAAAAAAATTGTGTCTTTGTCAGACAAATTATGGACGTGACTGTATGCTTTCTGCTTTTGAAAGTGACCCCTTGATAACTGATGCTAGAACTACTCGTAACATTAACAAAGTCTATTTGCTTTAAACTGTCTAAAAAGTAAGTATGCTAAATAGTTTCTGTTTATAAAATAAATAACATTAACAACATTACAGCAACAAGCTAGGCATAAAGATGAATTTATTTAGTAACATAATACACGTTGGTCTTCTTGGGAAGAACGCTTTCACAGCTATGGGATGTTAGTTAAAATAATAATAACAGTAGTTTGGTGTAGATGATGAAATGCATGATGTTGAGTTCTGGGTTCTTGGGTTTTTGTTCCTGTTTTTCATGCTCACAGTACCCCCATTGTTTCTTTGAGTTCCTTTTTCGTGTCTGTGTTGGTGTCTTTGTTTTGTGTTCCCACTGTTTCTGTCACCTTGTTTAGTGTTTGTCTTCATATCTCGGCGTTTTTTTCGTTTTACTCTTCTACTTGGAAGGTTAGTCTTCTGTATCCAGTTTTACTTTCTATTTTTTTCCCCTCATTGTTTTTACCTGTTGCTGACTGGTGCACCTCTCCCCTCTTCCTAGCTGTGTGCCATCATGTAATCAGTTCCCAGTGTATGTATACTCCGACCTTTCTGTTTGTCATGGCGTCTGTTTTCTTACCTTCTTTTGTTCCCATGGTGTTACATGTTTTTTCATCCTCCTTGTGTTCCTGTTTGGTCTTTTTTGTATTTTGTACAATTTTTCAGCAGCCAAATAAACTGCTCACTTTCAGTTACTTCTCCTGCCTTCGACTTCTGCCTCTCGGTGCTCTCCACTCCAAGCCGTGACAAAATTTCAGTTTTACATTTTATGTTTCCCTAAAAACAAATCAAGGCTGTGTTAAATTCCTTTTTGTATCTGTTTTTTGTCATCTTTCTTAATTTCTTGTGAACTTTTATTTCAGTTGTCCATTGTATTTTGTCCATTTTTTGTCATTTCATTAGCTTTTCGTTGCATCAGCCTCCACAGTTTGTGTTTAAAAGTAAAGACTCTACTGAAAGCAGTTTATGGTGTGTGTTGTTCCAACATTACAAATATTTTTTTTTAAGATGGTAAGATGTGGTCAATCAAATTGGCAGGTCAGTAGTTTAATCAAATGTGTGTCTACAGGTCCAGCGCAATTAATGTTGTAAAAATCCTGAGAGTTCTGCGCGTGCTTAGACCACTGAGGGCCATCAACAGAGCCAAAGGACTAAAGGTTGACATAGTCACGCATAAAAAATACACACAATGAACACTTATCTGTCCTCTAAAAAAAGGCATAGACTTATCACTCACTCTTATATTTGGTGGGTTTTTTGCAGCATGTAGTGCAGTGCGTGTTTGTGGCCATCAGGACTATTGGCAACATCGTCATCGTCACCACATTACTCCAGTTCATGTTCGCCTGTATTGGAGTGCAACTCTTTAAGGTAAAAAAAGGGAATATGATCAGTTAGTTAATGTACTTTTTGAACCCTTTTTTAAAATTCTGACTAAGAAATTGTCTCGTGTTTCAATCAGGGCAAGTTCTTCTACTGTACCGACAACTCTAAGCAGACTCAGGCAGAGTGCAGGTAAGAGATACCCCCTGCAGACGGCATCTTAATCTTTTTTCTTACAGTCTAACTACATTATGTGTGTGTATGTCTGTTTGCGTCCACAGAGGTTCTTTCATCACATATAAAGACGGGGATGTGGGGAAGCCTGACAAAGCCCCAAGAGTGTGGGAGAACAGTGACTTTAACTTTGATGATGTTCTACAAGGCATGATGGCACTGTTTGCCGTGTCTACCTTCGAGGGATGGCCAGGGTGTGTGTCTATATAACAACCTAGTGCAGATGTTTTTTTATGTATATATATTACGATCCCTTTTTTTATGACCTCTGCCAATTTTGTGGTTTAAGTGAGTGTGTGCATGTCATTGTGTCTGAATTCAGATAAAACTTTGTAAGAGTGTAGAGTGGGGTCATTCTTACAATCCACATCCAAGGTCAACTCAGTAATTTATTGGTCCAAAATTGACAATAAGCCTTATAGCTGTGGTAAGTGTGGTTTCTATTGTCAACATAGAGATAGTACCGTATAAAGATTTAAAATATTATGTCACATTTGACCCCTGACCTCTTTTTCAAAATTCTGATTGATCTGAAGGTCAAAGTGATAATAATGACATGTAGAGGGTTTTCAGACTGACTAAACTGACTGTTTAAATACATAACAATTTGAATACATGCACAGTGTTCAAATATAATAGTTTTCTTTTGAACTTTTGTGAAACTTCTTACTAAACAATGGAATAAATGCAATTTGTTTTTTAAATTCCAGATTTCATTTTCCGTCTCTTTGTCAGGTTACTGTACCGAGCCATTGACTCTCATGCTGAGGATGTGGGGCCCATTTACAACTACCGCGTGGTCATTTCCATCTTCTTTATCATCTACATCATCATCATTGCCTTCTTCATGATGAACATTTTCGTCGGTTTCGTCATCGTCACATTCCAGGAACAAGGGGAGCAAGAATATAAGAACTGCGAGCTGGACAAAAACCAGGTAGTGTTCGTGTATATTTTGTGTAAAGTTACTACTCGATAAAATTATTAGTACTTTTGAAACTTTTTTTTTTGTTTGTATAGTGATAACTTTCTGACTTTAAATCTCGTAGTACAGCAGAGAGATTTTTTTAAAGGTACAGAGGAGTGATTCTACTGTTCTGACAGGAGCGGGAAAGTCATTGTGTCATTTAGGAGCCACAAGGGAGAAGGAATAAGAGCCAGGCAATGGGGGTTTGACACGGATGAATCTGAAGAGGCTGAACATGAGTTTTAGGAGCAGAACCACTTCAGGAGCCCAGCCAGGAGGAGCTGCAGCAGTTCAAAAAAGATGAGACTAAACCTTACAAAAGGAATGAGGCCAAGGGCCTGCGGCTGTGTTCTCTGACATGATCCATGTTTCAGAAAAAGCATGTAAATGCAGACAGAGGATAGAAGAGTAGTCTAGCTTTTTTAGCGTGCCAAAAGACTTTTCTACAGCTTTTCCTCCATGACTGTCTGGGAACAGGGCGACACACAGCTGAATACATCAGCAGACACATGTAAATGGCAAATGCTCACCTTTGTGTTTGTGTGTGTATGCCACAGCGTCAGTGCGTGGAGTACGCTCTAAAGGCTCGTCCGCTGCGTCGCTACATCCCCAAGAACCCTTACCAGTACAAGGTGTGGTATGTGGTCAACTCCACCTACTTTGAGTATTTGATGTTCACACTCATCCTTCTCAACACCATCTGTCTGGCCATGCAGGTGAGTAATGTGTGTGTGTGTACATTTAGAAAAAAAACTCCCATAGAACTAACATTGCGTAATGAGTTTGTGTTTTTTTTCCCTGCAGCATCATGGACAGACCAAAAATTTCAATGATGCCATGAACATCCTCAACATGCTCTTCACGGGACTTTTCACTGTTGAGATGATCCTTAAACTGATCGCCTTCAAACCCAGGGTATGTTCACTACTCAAACAGCAGGCTAGAATAACAGTGATACCTGTGTAGGACTACAGACTAGAGAAATGTGAAAAAGCACAGACAAAGAGACATTTTATAATGTAATGTTAGATGAAATTAGATAAACTCACAGCTCTATCTATCAGTGCTCATTGCAGCCCGGAAGAAAAAGAGTTTAATAGTTTTTTTTAAAGGCTTTTGAGTCACAGCGTTGCAGAAGACGGATTGTTGTGCTCTAAATTCATAATTCTTTTTCATTTCCTTCCTTACGATACGATGGATTTAAACCTTGATTAGAGGAAAGCGTTTATGTGCTTAATCCCATTGTTCCCTTGTTATCCTGCTGTTGTTGCCGTGCCCAATCTAAGAACTTCCTGGTGCTTCAGCTATTTAAACAGTAACAGATGGGCATGCTCCCTCTTATTACCGCAGGGTTAGTGGAGAATCTTGAACGCAATCAACAGCAATAACATAGTTTCATATTATACTTTACTCCTTTGACTACTGTTGCATTGTACTAATCAAAAGAACAAAGGTTTTCCAGTTATTACAAAAGTTAATTGAGCTCATTAATGAAGACCATCTACTATTTTGCACACAATGTTTTCCAACCACTAATTAAATTACAAGTCTTCTGTTGTTTTGTTTTGTTGTTTCTTCCAATAATCCTCTGCAAAGTTTGTGCTTTTTATTTAAATAGTTGCAAGATGGTTATCTTGTAATGACTTTTGAAATGCTACGGTTAGAACATTTTGTCTGAGTAACATAATGCATGCTCTGCAGTATTTTAGCCAACAGTGGATTTTGGAACAATGAATTTTAGGACTTGGGAATTTACATCGTGCTGCGCTGCGTTATGTATGTGAGGAAGATGAACTGCCAGATCATAAAGGCAGCGTTTCTCTTTTTAAAAAACATCAAAGTATCACCAGTTAAGTTGTGACTCTTTACATATAAAATACTGACGAACTGATACTTGTTTTGCATCTTTCTTTCTTGTGTTTATTGTGGTGCAGCATGACAGCAGATTCCCAAGCCACAATGAACAGTGCTTAGGACATATGGTGTTGTGTATGCTTTTCCTTGCCTTGATAAACTTTTGCCTTAAACAGCCATCGCACAGGACGCAGGAGCTCACCAATGCTTTTGCTTCTCAGGTTTCACAGACGCAAGGAATTCGCTCCAGTAATGTTTGCCTCATTCTATTTAACCTCAATACTTTTTGATAGGTTGATCAATGGATGGGCAACAGTAACACTAACAAAGACTTTTACATGTTTTTACAGTTTTTCCCACTCTTTTATATTTTTAAGTCTTTAATGAATCACATAATCTAATTATTTATTTAGACAATGCTTATTTTGTCTAATCTCTCTATTTAATCAATTCATAAATGAGTATTTGGGTACTAATGCCAAACCCCCGTTTGACTAATATTTAACTCTCAGTTCTCATTATTATTCCTAAAACTGAAAGCAACTTCATTAAAACCACTGTTGCCAAGGATACCTTCTAATATCTGCACTGTGCAGACGAATTATGGCAGGAGGAGTTTTTTTCCCCCCTTTTTTTCATGTTATCTCAGCTGCTGATGACAGATGAAGAAGCTTAAAATAGATCAGCAAGATTGATCTCCATTCCCCGTCAGTGTGTGTAGCCACCAATTTAGCAATTGGTGCAAACAGTTGCGTGATATTTGTCATGCATACCTTACGACTTAATGTTTTTGTTGAAAATATTGTAGCTAGTCGCTAGTTCCATTCCTGTAAAATATGCAAAACTATGACCGAGAACGAGTCAAAGTGGTCCAGATGTGTTTAAAAAAAAGAATAATCACAGTGACGTATTAGACGACAGTGTATGCAGACGAAACTCCAAGGTTCATTAATGTTCAAAGACGCAGCTCTTTGTAATTACACTATAAAAATAAATGTGAATAATACCATTCTGGCCTGAAGATATATAGATGTATTTTTGCATAAATACTGCCTTTGTACCAATGCTGATAAAGAATTGCCCACAATAAGTTAAGTAAACAAAGTCGGCTTTCAGTGTAATCACTGCCACAGCTTTGCTGAATAGCCCCGAGATGCACGTGGAAGATGTAAATAACCATTTAACCCACCATCCTTCGCAGAGCAGGAAATTCAGCTGCACTCGATGAACAGATAGCTCAGTGGAAACTTCTTATCCTTTCATGTGTTGGTTCATCAAGTGTAGCTGATTTTCTTTCTGTTTCCTCAATGTACTGTACAACCTCATACCACCTTGATAGGGGCTGCGAAGTGGCAGCAGATGTTGTTTTCCTTCTAACCTACCTTTCTTACCCTCCTCCTCCTCTTGCTCACCTCATCCTGTGTAGGGGTACTTTAGTGATCCCTGGAATGTGTTTGATTTCCTCATCGTAATTGGCAGCATAATAGACGTCATTCTCAGTGAAATCAACGTAAGTACGACGTCCCCCCCCTTCCCACTTCACTCTCCTTGTCTCTCCCTCTCTGTCTCATGTCCTCTCACTCTGTCTTACCTTCTGCTCTCCTTTCCTTTGTGGTTACTCTCTGTCATGCTGTCATTTCTCTTCATCTATCTTCTTTGTCAGCCTCCTCCTTCTCTTCTTCCTCCTCCTTCTCTTCCTTTCATTCTTAAAACCAAGATGGCCGCTGCCACGCACGGGACCCCCACTCCCCCCACCCACAGCCACAGAGGTTCCTGAGCGAGAACAAGCTTCTTCCTGGGTTTCACAAAAAGTCGAGGAAACAGAGGCAGGGTTTAGCTTTGAGCACAAAGGTTTCTGTCTTGCGTCCTCTTTCCTAACTCTTCACAGTATCTAAAATGTTGTTGGGTTTTTTTGGTTTCTTTTCTTTTGTTTTTTTGGCCACACTGTGACACTCAGGTTTGATCCCCCTGACTAACTGAACTAACTCACTGACCAATCACAAACAGCCTTACGCAGCTTTTTCTCATTTTTTTTAGTTGTGATTTTGTTGCATATTGTTCCTTACTGTTCCTGTTCCTGTTGACATTTCCTCTCATAGACAAGCATGACCGATCGCTGCTGCTCTACCTGTGCTGTCTATCTTCTTCAGACTGCCCCCTCTTTTCTTTTTTAGCCTTTTTTAAATTTTGTTGTTTCTTTCCCTTTCTACTCCTACTAAAAACTCCAGTGCTCATGTATGTAATGGTTTTTATCTTATTTTTTCTCCTCTCTCCTTTAATTTCCGTTCTTTCCATTTTTTTAAATGTCTTATGTTTTGTCCTTTTCTTCTGTTGTTTTCCTTTTCTGTCCATCCCTACACAGCATTATTTTGTTGATGCATGGAACACATTTGATGCCTTGATAGTTGTGGGTAGCATTGTTGACATAGCGATCACTGAGGTTAACGTAAGTAGTCCAAACTCCCTCCCTCCCTTCCTGCCTGCCTGCTCTGCCATTCCCACACACACAAACAGACCGAGCACTGATACCCATCTCGCATGCTTTCAAATGATTAGGAAAACTGCAGCTGCACAATATTTTAACCTAAGAGATGGCTGAGTAAGTCTGGCAGATAAAACAGCCATATGGGGCCCAATCAAACTGGAAACTACTGGCTTCTGAAGGGTTTTTGTAGTTTTTGAGCTTTGTTTTGTTCCCATATCTGATTGTCTTTGGACGTGGTAAGGTATCGCCTCCTTTAATTTTGTTTTGGTTTATTTTCTTTTTGTGTAAGAAAATGCCTTCTTCCCAAGCAATCCTAATCACTTTTTTACTATTAGAAGCAGTGTGAAAATGCCAAATTTTCAGTGCAGCTTTTAACATTTGAAGCTGCTTGAGATATGTTTTCACGCCTCGGTCTGCTTAGTATCAGTAGCATCAGAGACTATTGCATTTGTCAATAGAACCGATTGCATTTCCTCAGCACTTGGTTTGATTACACATTGGTTTTATTTGGTCTTTCATCACTGCCTTAGGGGATACATTTCCCTGGCATGATGGACACTGTATAGCATGACAGATACAACAGTGGTATATCCAGGCCTGTTACTGTATCCAATTTATCTTATGCAGAAATTATATTCTGAATGAAGGAACGAATGCAGATTCTCATATTATAACAACAGTGTTTTGAGGGTATGAAGAAAAGCGCTCTGAGTTTATATATAGCGAGAAACATACACGAGTTGCATTTTCCTTTGTCCAACAGTAGCAATGTGGAGACATGGGGAACAATTTGATCCATAAATGGATTTACTCGGGACCCATGAAATTTATGTAAATGTATGTATGAATTCATTTATCATCGACGTGGAGGCCCTATGGTCAGTGGTGGGGCTGAATAAGAATGAATATCCCAAACACAAGTCAAATGTTGAGTGTCTATTGTATTTACACTTCAGGGACAGTTAGTGTTTAATTCATGTGGTACTGAAAGTGCTCTTTGGCAGGAGTAGAGTTTAAGAACTGCACGGTCCTTTTCATTTATCCTTAGAGGAAAGTGCATTTGTACTAATGATCGGCCTCACCGAAGACCTTAATGTTACTTCGACATTTCTTCTACCTGCCCATCATTAAAGTTTCTTTGATGGTTTCCCTTCGATCTGAAAAGCTTTGCATCTTTTGTAAAACAAAAAACAAAACACGAGAACAAGTGTAATTCTCTATACACTTATGGTAAAAAAAAAAAAGTTCACCCTCTGTCAATTCTAAAATACATCAAGACATTTTTTTTTTAAAATTATCTAGTCCTTAACAATTTTTAAAATTAGGTCTTACTTATTTAACAAAAATTGAGCCAAAATCCAGAAGCAAGTGTGCCAAACATTGAGGACTTTGACTGGGCCATTGCAACACCTTGATTCTTTTCTTTTTTTTAGCCTTTATGTTGTAGATTTGCTGCTGTGCCTCGGATCATTAACCTGTTACATGACCCAATTCAGCCAAACCTTAGCTGTCAGACCGATCGCCTCACGTTTGACCCTTGTATGCTTTGGTATACAAAGGAGTTGATGGTCTATCAAAACAAACAAAACAAGCTCAAATCACTGTTGGAGTGGTTGGTATGAGGTGTTTGTGCTGTGATTGGTTTTCTCCAAATGTTGTGCTGTGCATTATGGCCAAACATCTCCACTTTGATTTCCACTCTTGGTCCAAAGGACATTATTCCAGAAGTCTTGTGGTTTGTTCAGATGCAATTTTGCAAACCTAAGCTGTAGTGGCATATTTACACATTCTTTTTCTGCTTGTACTGTCATGAACTTTATCACTTAATAACTAACTGAGGCCTGTAGAGCATGAGATGTAGCTTTTTCCAGGGTTTTTTTTGCAGTGTCCCTTAGCATTGTATGGTTTGACTTAGAGATAAATTTCCTGCACATGGCTTCTGGATTTTGACTTATTTTTTGTTAAATTAATAACACAGTATAATATGTTTAGTTTTGTTGTTTATCTGAGGCTGTATTGAGATCATTTTAAGACCTCCTAAGGACTAGATCAAGGATATAGCACCTTCAAGAATCAGTACTTTTACCCTAACTTGGAGAAGTAAGTGTTTAATATTAGTATAATGTTGATGGAGTTCTGACTACATGTTTGAGTCAAAGTTAGGGTTAGCATAACTTGAAAAGGAAAATAAAGACACCAGGAGAGAAGAGCTGGCCCAGTTGTGGTGAAGGGTTAAAAAGAAAGTAGCCACCCATCTCTTTTGTTGATTTCAGTCACAAAACATAGTGGTGCTGGTGTTCTCTACAGTGATCTTGGAAAGAGCTAGGTGTAGCCAGTCTTTTTGGTAAGCAGAGCTTGGCTGTCCCTCAGCTAGAAAGAACAAGGTCCTTCAAAGTCAGTCATTAGTCTTCTAATCTAACATAATAAATAGCACTAAAAGACTTTTATTTAGGAGGTCACAATAAATACAGCCTTTTTCTGTTTAAGATTGGGGATCCACATATTACCAGCTTAAAAATTCCAACTGGTTTGAAAACATGAAGCAGGAAGAGAGCATGCATAGATGTAGATCAGTACTTTATTTCATATGCAGCTTTTCCTCCTCAGATAGCACCGGTGAGGCATACAAATACAGTACAGTTACTGTATTCCAGGCATGTATGAGCTAAGCGCTTGTATTCATGCCATGAGGAAGGCATTTGTCCCCATGAGAGGCTGACAAAGCTGCTTATCGTTGCTTGGGTATGCTTAGATATGTGCTTTATTTCATTTTTCTATTTAGTTATTAGAACAATGTGCTGTCAAGGGACTTAATAAAGGATCATAAAGTATCTTCAATAATGTATCTGATCTTGAAGCTCCTGTTTAGAAAGGCACAAATGTCAATTTAAATAAACAGGTTGAATAACCACCTTAAGACTGAGGTGTGTTGGGCCAGAGATATCCACTTTTGTCATCTATACAAGCCGCTGATGTTGCACTTAGCACTTTGGTTTGGAGATTGCCTTTGATTTGAGTGAGTTGGTTAATTGAGAGATTGATTGATTTGGTTAATTGGTTTGCAGTTCTTTCTGAATGATTCATCATATTGTTTTCTAACCTCTAACCTAAAGGCATGCCCCAAGTTTGTTTGTTTTTTTCCTCCTCTTCATTTTCTCCTCTGGTAGTTTTTAATAATTTGGGCGATGCGCTGCCCAAGCTACCTTTTCTGTCTTTATCTCCTGTAGTTTTTTTCTTTTCCGGTGTCTTTTTTTTAAGAAACCCTCCGCACTCTGAGAACTCTTGACCGTTTTTGAACTGGGGCCCTGTCACATAGACATTTAAAATCTTAGCCTGCGACTGCATCAGCCACGAAAGCACAAGTGAATGTATTTAACAGCCGCCATCTCCTTAGTCGCATCTCTCAAATGTACACGAGTGTACAGTGGAGTGCAGTAACAGGCTGGCGTTTAAAACCTTATCACTTTGCCTGTAGTAAATATTTAAAACATCCAATCTAAATGCACCCACTTCGCCGCTCCTTTGGGTGCCTGGTTGACTTAGATTAGCAGCATATCTTCCGGTCATTAAAACCGAATATCCCCTTAATCCTGGATCTCTAATTCTCCCCAGAAACCTGCGGGTGCTTCTTAAACCTTGTATGGTTTCTTTTACGTTTTGGTTTTGGTTTGAGTAGCAGTAGTTTGAACAGATCAGTAGTGGTTTGCTCTGAGCGGTGTCTTGCGGACAATGCCAGTATGGACTGCATCTCTTTCTCTATCTTCGGAATGCCTCTTCTTCTCCTCTCCATCCTCCTCCTCCTTCTCTTTTTCTGAGCCTTTTCAATGCACTGAACTCTTCTTTTATGGATGTTTATCTCTCTCTTTTTCTCTGTCTTTTCTTTGACGTTTGATTGCGGTGCAGCTTGCTCACATAAAATGAAAGCTGGGTAACATGGGTCTCTCGTGTGTTTCATATGCCCTACGAGGTCCACAATTATCCGCTCTATATGTAAACATGTGTTTTAAAATATACATAAATATGACAAATGAAACAAAAATATTTTCGAGCTTCTGTAACGTAAATTAACGGGTAAGAATAATCCCATGACACACATGTTACCCATTAAACTGACTGAACTGATGAAATTTTTTGCTTGAAAAAATTGGCGTGCAATGTGAGTGAACAACTCGGATCCATTTTAAATGTGCTCACATCTGCACTGTAGTTCAGCCTATATATTGTGTATATATTATAATTTGACTGTTTGATTATTTTTTTAGGACTAAATTTGTGTTTTGCTAAAAGTATATTTTATTTGAAGATCTTCCAGGGCCAAAAATTCAGTGTAGTATCAATATTTTACTTTTGATCTGTTTTAAAAGAAGATAAATGAAGGATATTTTAAGTTTAATTGGATTCTGTGTCAAAGCTTTGATTTCAATTTGAAATGAAAGCACATTGTAAACAATGGCCCTTAATCATAATCCTCAGAAAAACACTCAAACATGCCTTTAGTTTGTTACTTAGTCCACACTTAATATAAATCAGGTTATCTTCCTCCCCTATACCCTTCCGTCCTTCCTTCCTGCAGATCCTTCCTTTATCCCTCCCTCCTTCCTACAGTTGCCCTTTCTTCCAACCTTCCCTTCCCTCATCGCCCCCCCGATTGCACCTCAGTTTTCTCATACGCTCACACAAACGCACATATAGTCATATTCTCTCTTCAGGCTTGCTATGCCTGATCTCCTTTTTTATGTGAAGAGATTATTACTTTTGTTTTTTATTATTTACGTTTTCTATTTAGAGAAGTGGTGCATCGTAAAGACTTTTTACTCTGTGTACATCGTTAGTATGTGTGTGTGTTATCATAAAGGCGTGTAGATGGCCCTGTTGAAATCCCATAAAATCCCTCATTCCTTCCTTCCTTGTTTTCTTCCTCTTTTAATTTGTTTTCCAACTCTCTAAAATAATTTCCCTGCATGTCTTCCGTCCCTTCTTCTACTCTTCCTTTTCTTTCCCAATTTTCTCCTTAATTTCCTTCCTATTGTGTCTCTTAAACACCCTCTTTCTCTCTTCCTTTAAACTCACCCGCTCAGACCTTTTTGATTTTGAAAACCAGGACAGGAAGTAATGATGCGTTTATTTTGTGAGGGGTATTTCAACACGGCCATTTCTAACGCAGAGTGACGCGCTTCCGAGTCATAGATTGAACTGTTAGTTAATCTATCACTCCCAGCAGTCTGAAATGTTGCAGTGTCGGGGAAAACCAGTGGGTGGCTCCCTACAGCACAAGGTTTGTGTGCTCGTTAATACATGCAGACACACACAAGCTCTAATTTCCACAGTCTAGCATCGTCTTTGCAGTTAGTGGAACTTACAGAGTTTTATATGTTATCTTACCAGCATCTTAACTGTGGATGCTTCCTTCAAAGTAAAACTTCCAAAAAACTCTTAATTTCACATGAATTGTGACTATTCTCTGGTGAAAGATGCACCTGATTAATGTAGGTTAATTTGGTTAAATGTAGATTCACTTAAATTATCCCCGATCATATACACATATAAGCTTTTGCACATAGACACACACTCTACGACAACTCTCACCCCCTGTGTTGCAGCTCCTGAGCGTTATTCATTTTTTTTGTCCCTCAAGGACAGAAATTTCCCACCATCTCTCATCACTACATGTTTCAGTCTTCTAGTATCTCTGATAAGAAGTGATTCAGCCTGATCTGGCCCTCGCAGAGGATAGGTCACTCTCTAGATGCAGTAATATCACACAAATATCTCCCTCTAATATCTGGCTCTGATGAGATTATATTTATTCACCACCATATGAGTCTCGATCAGAGATTGAACTCTGTCGGTTTGTGATTTATTTATTTTTTTCGTTTTCAAAAAAACAAACAAACAAAACACACAGACACACACATAAACACACTTGCACCGTGACACAAACACACACACCAAGGCGCTACTCTGGTGCTGATGTTTGTTGCCTTTCCTTAAAGCCGGCTGACTCCTCCTCGTCCTCGTCCTCGTCCTCTTCGTCCTCCTCTTCCTCCTCTTCCTCCTCTCACCCCCCTGTGGTAAGGCCAATGGTACGCTCCGACGGTAACCTCGCCCGCCGCCCTACCTCCTCCACCATCCCTTCATCCCTCCATCATTCCATCCCTCCCTCTGCTATGCCATCCACGGTATGATCTTCTCGTCCACCCTGTCATCTCCCCCTCTGTCGCTCATGCTGTTAACTTCTGCAGCATGCCGAGATATATATCGCTGTTGTTTGTGCTTTTTTAAATGTTTATATATGTGTAGTCCTATATGGTGAAGGACACTGTACGTTATGCAGGCCTAGTATCACTGGAGTCTTGTGACTTTCCTTGGTGGCTGTCATTCTTGCCATGGCGCAAGCTGCCCCCACTTCCTCCCCATGGCTTGCAAGTTGCCCTCCGTATGGAAGTGGTATCTTTCGCGCTTCGTCATCAGTACGAGCCATCATGGTCACGCTGTCTCTCTTTTTCTCACTCTTCTCCACTGATCTATCTGTCTGTATCTGTCTCTTTGTCTGTATCTGTCTGTCTGTTTACGAATCAGTCTTGTGATTTGTCTCTGAATATTTCCAACAATTCCTTATCTTTAGTGTCTGTCTTTGGCTCTCTTTCTCTCTCTGTTACACTTACTGTCACTGTACTTCTTCTGCTCACTCCCCACCCCCACCCCCACTCTTTCAATGGTGCAATGGTGCCCACTGTGGTCCAATTGTGGTATTTACATGCAGTACAGAATTGTGATTTTCCACTCCTCAGAAGGATGTGCCACTTTTAGCATATCTGGCAGTGGAGTTTGGGATAATGCATGTTATCGGTTACTTGTCAACACACTTTTATCCCTGAATTACATAAAAATAGAAGTGACTAGTCATTTTTCCAAACTTTGATTTATTTGCAACACATAGCAAGTGACTAGTGCAAATAATGAATGCAAATCAGATCAGTAATATGTTGAAAAGTAACGCACCGTGCAACATCTGTTATCCCAAACTGCAGCAGGATGTGTGGAGAATGGCAAGTTCTTTGTGGGAGCACACTGTGTGTTCTTTGTGGGATTAACATAAAGAATTAATGGCTTCTTGGAAAAATACAAGTGGCAAAGCAGATTCAGAGGTCAGAGAGGCTGATGCCGTGTTTCTTTGGGTCACATTTCATTGTTACAGTGACGAAAGATGTAGCACGGCTCTCCTCTGGTTACATGTTGCGTGTAGTCAGGTTTGTTTTGTGCATACCGGCCAGTCAGATAATGGTGAACTGGAGATTTTCTCCTTAATTTTGCATAACTAGTTTTGTCATTAGGATTGCTAATGAGCCGATATCCTTGCTTTCACCCGATTCAGCTGTCATTTGTGGTGTAAATTGTGGATATTTATTCCTTAGCTTGGCCGTTAGCTGCTGTGTTGTGTGCATCGTGCTGTACAAAAACTCTGATGTTGCCTTTGTTTTTCTGCCTTTTTGTCCTGGAGAACGAGCAGGAACAGCATAAATAAATAAATCTGTATTAGAATAGCACTCTGCTAGATGGCTGAATATTTTATCGCAGACTTATTTCCTGTGGATGACAGAAACATTAGCTAACCTTACCTAATAAAGCAGCAAAAATTCAAATAATTGAATGCATAAATGTCTGGAGATGCAAAATACTAGAGGCTCTGTAAATAAAAAGAGACCTAGAAGATCACAGTACACAGATGGTGTAGATATGGAGATTTACCACACAGGTAAATAGTGTTTCTACATGGCAGTCACTGCACTGGGCAGTAATAACTTTATCCTCTGGAATATCATCCTTGGATTTTCTTTCTCCAGGTGGCCAGTTTATCTGTGACAAACAATTAGCCTGTCTGCATGATTTATTGAAACAGGAATCAGCCCACAGGCTCGGATTTTTGTATTGTATCTACTGTGAGTTGTTAACAGTGATTTATGAGAGTGCTTACCTCCATCGATGGAAGACTCTCCGTCCCAGTCTCAGATATTAGATTTTTAGTCTATAGCAGTGCAGAATAAATGCAGAAGATTTACTTCAGAGGTCCCAAAAGTGTTTAAAAGCCTGTTTGTCAAATGTCAGCGCATGGCTAGATTTACCTGTAATTGGACGCTTTCTTTGTTGTGATTATGGTGGCGGTGTGGTGAGGTCAAAGAAACAGCGTTAAGGTGTATCAGATGCTTGTAAACATGAATGAAGCGGATTCAATCAGAAATGTCAAGGGATTTTTCCATGAAGTCATACACGTAAGCATGACTGCCCGATTCTCTCCCAGATCTCTTGTGTCAGTTGATTTTGATGGGATTTTGTAGGACGCAAGTTTCCATTTATTAACTCTGTATGTGTGTGTGTGTGTGTGTGTGTGTGTGTGCGTATGTGTGTGCCTTTTATTCATATTAACACCCATATGTGTGGGTGGAAATATGGATACAAATGTTACTTGTATGTCTGTGTGCATATGCATGTTTTCATGATCATTTATGCGCGTGCGTGTGTATATGTGTGTGTGCGTGTGCGTTTGCTTCATTTCCCTATCTATCTGCATGTGTTCCCATGCGTCCTGTGTTTTTTTTTCTAACAAAAAAAAAAACACCAAACCCCACCAAAAGGGACTGCAGAACTCTGAAGAGAACGCCAGGATCTCCATCACCTTCTTCCGGCTGTTCCGCGTGATGAGGCTGGTGAAGCTGCTGTCTCGCGGGGAAGGGATTCGGACCCTGCTGTGGACCTTCATCAAATCCTTCCAAGTGAGGGGAGAACCGGACACAACATGCTAGAATAGGGGGGTTGGGTTTACACAGGGAGAAGTGGCTCTCTTTGTCCTTCCTTTCAGAGCTCTATTTGCTTTCACTTAAGTTCTGTTTTTTAAGAGATTTTACAAGACATTTTAATTTTAACCACACATTTAAAGTCTGTAAATTAAATTTAAAAATTATTTTCAGTTCTGAGATGCATGCAGCTATAAATGCCCTTGTTCTTGTGTAAATCCAGCCTGGTAGAGTCTCACAAGCTACCTTTCCTTGCCTCGCCTTGTCCCTCCTCATCCCCACCTCTTACTTGCGTAGAAGGTCAGGTAGATGCTATTTTTTTTTTAAAAAGAGGGATGGTGTGAGGTAATGGAGAGGATGTTTGGGAGTCTAACTACAGAAGCAGATTATGAAGTTTGAAAACAGGAAAAAAAATCCATACCTTAACGAGAAATCTTTTCTTCGTCTTTCCACTTCTCCTCTTTTCTTTCTTCTTCTTCTTCTTCTTCTTCTTCTTCTTCTTCTTCTTCTTCTTCTTCTTCTATTTATTACCGTCAAACACCCTGCGCCCTACTACTAACCCCTGAGAGCTCACCATTCCCCGTAGGCGAGTTAAGCCGTAGACAAGTTTTGTTTAACGAAGCACTCCACCAAAAAAGTGAAATCATTTGATAGAGAGTTGTGGGGACATTAAAATCATCTGTTCTCTCTCTTGCGTTAGCTGAGACGGGCCACTTCATGTTGTACTACTGCTGCCTGTTTGAACCACAGGCTTAAAAATCAGCAGTGGTTGTGAATATCATTTTGAGCTATGCATTAATATTTTGTGCGCTTATAGAATTTATTTAATTTATGAGCAGGCTTTAACTTTTTCATTTATTCATCATGACTTGGCCCTGCCCTTCTATGCACAGGAGTAATATTAGCCAGGAGCACAGTCCTGCACTTTTGCTAATGCGTCTTAATATAGAAAAACAATGTTCTGCCCTTGTTTGGTGCATGTGCTGTATGTTGGGACTGATCTCCTGGCTAAGTCCAGAGAACAGATTGTATTTTGCTGAGGTTTTTCACTCTGAAGTCAGATGATTTGTCCTGGATTGTTTTTGGTGTTGTGCCACACAAGACTGCAGATCCATTCACTTTCACAAGTTTGAAAAAAAGAAAAAGAAAAAAAAGAAAAGAAAAAAATAGATTGTGACTTTGAAGATTAATTGGACGAGTGAGATTTGAATGAAAATGAATGGACTCCAGCTCTGGTGTAGGATAAGCCTGCAGAAAACTTGCCACTGATGCATCTCTCCTCTCTTCAGGCTCTGCCCTACGTAGCTCTGCTTATAGTGATGCTGTTCTTCATATACGCCGTCATTGGCATGCAGGTAAGCTGTCAGGTTGTTATCCCCTTGTTTCCCTCCCACTGTTATCTTCTCTCACCTTCTCTCCTTTAGCAAGCCTCCGTCCTGTGTCTGTCCCCCTGGAGTCTTGTCACTCAGAGTTCCTGTTTGGTCAAGTTGTTATTTTGCTCTCCCATTATCTTCCTCTCTCTGTTGCTCTTTAGTTACTGTTTGTCTTTGTCTCTCTGCTTCCTCTCTGTTTCACCTGGAAGCTGTTGTATTGTTTGTTTCACTGACGATGAGTAGGAGACACTTTGGTTTGATTTGCTGGGGGATGTCTGGCCACTAAATGTGACCGACTTTCACTTGTCAATGCTGACATCATATGCTGTGTGCTGTGACTACACCCTCCCCTCCTATACAGATGTTTGGTAAGATAGCTCTGCGGGACCACATGCAAATCAACAGGAACAACAATTTCCAGACATTCCCTCAGGCGGTGCTGCTGCTCTTCAGGTAAGGGTGATTAATTTGGGCATTTGCTCTTTTTTACTCCCTCATCGTCTTTGTTATTCCACTTTTCTCCTAATCTGTATACTTTGTTTGTGTAACTGCTCTGGCATTAAAAACTGCCAAATCAAACATGCTAGTCTATATGGGAGCAGCCAAAAACAGCTTGATGTTGATTTACGACAAACGCCCTGAAGGTTTTCTTCCTCTTTTCTGCTTGGTTGTGATGATGGTAAGATTCCATGAAGGGGGACAAAAACCACAGAATCTGAAAGGATGGAATCACACATAATTTACTAGCATTACACCAAGTTTATTCTCCTCAAGTTCAAAAAATGTCTATCCTTTCTTATTCTGGATACACCCCTACATGGAATATATAATAGCACTGAGTCTCCATTAAGAATGACAGTATACTTGGACACTTGATAAGCAGAGGAACTCAAAACTGAATGGATAAAAATCATATATATATATATATA